AAGAAATATTTAACTAATTACCAAATTAGAATCTTTAACTTTGGAAAAGGTGTTAAATATGAAACACGGATAAATCCTTTTAATCGTCTAAGCTCTGAACTTGCAGTACTCTTATATTTTTAAGTTAATAAAGTTTAATTTGTGGTGAAACTGCCATAAAAAAGCGCTCAACAACAAATAATAAAAATCATATTCTATGCAGACGACACTTGAAACCTATTAAAACTTATTCTAAAGTAGTTATTTAATAATAAAACACCAGTGGTGTTATTATAGTTTTTTTAAAACCCATATTTCCTAAATATAAACGCAGGTAAGGTCGTTATGACATATCAAATACCAATATGTTTAAATAAAATTCTGATGCTAAACAGAAATTGGTTAGCAAGTGTGAACTAAATTTTTATTTTTATGTGGCGGGTGATTTTTAGGGAGAATTAAAATTATATTCTCAATACTGTTATCTGAACTGGGCTTAAATTGAACAAAAATGTCGTAACATTTATATAAATAGAATAAACAATTTTCATATGGCGTCGGGAAAAAGAAACTTTGAACAATATCTATTATAAGAAAAACATATTTGCGTGTAGATGTACTGTAAATATAAAATGGATTTTACGTGTCTCAAAGTTAAGAATAGCCAACGAAGCTATAAAACTGATGAATAACCTATCTGGGTTTTATGCGACCACTGTAATAATAATTCATTAACTTTTCCTTTTTACGCTTTTCTGTGTGCATTTTTGGTCGTCTACATGTTTGATCTAGACAACACTGTTTTTTATTTCACTCTCTACGTCGCCAGGTAGCTTTGGTCACCCATTCCCCATTTCACCATCTGGGTTCCAAAGAAGTGCTGTCTTTACAAAAAAAAAGTGTCCTCCTTTCTCTACACATGGTTAGCCATCTATATTTCGTTTTCTTTGTGATTTCTTGCATGTCTCTTTGGGTGGCCGCACAGATGCGCAATGGAAAACTGCGCATAGGAAAACTGCGCACAAAATTGTGCGAAAGGGCATTTTTGTTTTCTTAAATCGAGCATTTATAGACATTAACAAACAGTGAATGTGTGTATATTGTAGCATAATAAAACATATTTCTACGAAATATGACAAAGTAAAATCTATCAGTATAAATAGTTTGTATTTGCGCATTTTTCTGTTGCGCAGTTTTCCGATTGCGCATTTTCTTATAACCGTCTATTGGATAGTTTTTTTTATGAATATATTTTCTCTTTGAAACAACGATGTTGATATATAAATACCCCACAACTTACTGGACATCTGAGATGTCGAAAAGAAATGTCTTTATAATTATCTCTGAGATTTGACAGACCATTGATACAGGTATACGTGTGAACGTTTGCGGGAAATATAATATGTTGATGAAACCAAACCTTCTTTAAATGTCTCGTGTCTAGTCGAGTTCTTTTTTCAGTCTGGCCAAATCCAGACACGTTAATAACAAATTAGCCTTATTCTGGATATTGTTTTATCAAGCTGCTGATAGCCGATACATGGTGTTTTTTATTCTTGTTTTTGTCTATGGGGAGGGGGTGGGGGAGGGCGGGGGGTGGGGTGGAGTTAAGAGGGTTGAAAATTGTATGTATGTCGCAATGGTAGGTTGGCACATTTTGATTGACCTGTCAGTTGCCGGCGTAAAGTTTAAATTAAGAAAAGTGTAAACTTTAAAGAAAGGATTTCTTACGTGAAAATAATTGTAAAATGAGTGTCTAGCCGGATCTGATCTCAAGACTTTTGGGTTAGTAATTGTGTTGTCTACTGCTTGACTACGCCCTTCTTCAGACATAGTGACCGAAATACTAGATCACTGAATACACGACCCATCCAAATACAACAAACCACTACATACACGACATCCAAATACAACAGACCACTAAATACACGACCCATCCAAATACAACAGACCACTAAATACACGACCATCCAAATACAACAGACCACTAAATACACGACCATCCAAATACAACAGACCACTAAATACACGACCATCCAAATACAACAGACCACTAAATACACGACCATCCAAATACAACAGACCACTAAATACACGACCATCCAAATACAACAGACCACTAAATACACGACATCCAAATACAACAGAACACTAAATACACGACCATCCAAATACAACAGACCACTAAATACACGACCATCCAAATACAACAGACCACTAAATACACGACATCCAAATACAACAGACCACTGCATACACGACATCCAAATACAACTGACCACTAAATACACGACGTCCAAAAACCTCATCAGACCACCGAATATACAACCATCAAAACAACAGAACAGACGAATGCTGTTGCTTTTATTTGAAACACAAGGTTGTCAATACATTAACAGAAAAAAACCAAATTAAAATATGGATACAAAACCTTTAATAACTCCAAAAACATGTCAAGTGTTCTTGTTAAAATACATGGTGGTACAGATGACTCATAGTTCTGTTGAGCTAATGGCTCCAAGCAGGCTCACGTGAAGGCTTGGGCCTATCATTTCTGTAGTGTTGAGGCCCCATGCTAGCTGTAGAGTACCTGGTACCTAGCAGGCTGGCATGTAGCAGGCTAGCACCTATCTGCTTCACTGCTTTGTATAGTTGCTGGTACCTAGCAGGCTACGACTAGCAGGCTGGAACCTAGAAGACTAGCACCAGCAGGCTAGCACCTTTCAGTCTCGCAGTTCTGTAGAGTTGCTGCTAACTAGCAGGCTACGACCTAGCAGGCTGGTACCTAGCAGACTAGCACCAGCAGGCTAGCACCCATCAGCCTCACAGCTCTGTAGAGTTGCTGGTACCTAGCAGGCTAGCAGCAGCAAGCTGGCACATACCCACCTCAAGGTTCTGTAGAGTTACTGGCACATAGGACGCTAGCACCTCGAAGGCAAGCACCAGCCGGCTGGCATATAACTACCTTAAGGTTCTGTAGAGTTGCTGACACCCAGCAGATATTCCACCATTGCCATCAGAGCCGTTTCTGTGGAAAGGTTTACAAGATGCAGATGAACGTGGTCAAGACTCACCAACAAGTGGTCGAGGATAGAAGCGGCAACTGAGGTACAACTAACTCGGTCAGAGGATAACCAAATAGATGGTTGGACAATTGGGGTAAGACTAACTCGGTCAAAGGTTAGCTAAATAGGTGTTTGGATAATTGGGGTACGACTCACTTGGTTAAAGGTTAGCCAAATAGGTGTTTGGATAATTGGGGTACGACTCACTTGGTTAAAGGTTAGCCAAATAGGTGTTTGGATAATTGGGGTACGACTCACTTGGTTAAAGGTTAACCAAATAGGTGGTTGGATAATTGGGTTACGACTAACTTTTTAAACGTTAACCAAATAGGTGGTTGGACAATTGGGATACGACTCACTTGGTCAAATGTTAAATAAGCTAAAATATCAATTTATTTTAAAAGAGTTATGTTGTATATTCGAAAAATAAGTGCTTTATTCAATATCTTTTATATAAAAATAGATAACGTTGCAACAGTCAATTTTTATTTTTTAAAGACTGCAAATGTAATACAATGCCTAACCATAACTGATAAATGTATAAGGTCAGCTCCTGGTATAACAAACTTTTAGTTGAAGTGCATCTTAAACTTTGTTTTATTTTATTTAGGAAGTTGTTGAAAAAATATGTTTTATTTATATTTTTTAACTGAGTTTATGTGACATTTTTTTACATTAAACATATTAATAACAAAAAAATTGTCATTTTTCATTAAAGAGTATCAGTAGGCCATTCCTCTCTAATAGTCAATCGATTTGTAATCCAACTCAGCCATGTTTTTAAATAAAACCACTAAATTATCGTACAAATTATGTCTATCAATTACGATGCTTTTGCATTGGATCGCCAAGTAGGGCATTGAAAAGCGTCTAAATTTGAGTTTTGTTGGACATTTTTTTAAAAAATTTTAACAGAACGTGTTTTTTTTTCTTTTTTATAAATTTTAGCAGTTAATTCTCATTTAAAAATATTTTCGATTATTGTAATGACAGAGATGGATCAATAGGACTATACAACCATCTCTGTTCTTTAAGAAACACATTCCCGTTTATAAAAATGACGGTTCGGGGCAGGGGGGGGGGGGGGGGGGAAAGAGAGGTCAAACAAAAGAGTAAAGTAAATTAAGTGGAAGAAGGGGAGAGAGGTCTGTGACTATTTGCGACAAAAAGGAGATAAATATGTGTGTGTGGGGGTGGGGAGTGGGGTTATCTTCTATAAAGCGTTATTATTTAGGGACGAGCCCTTACGATGTATTTATATAGCGGTCAAGGTCATTTAAACATAGCAGCCCCACCCCCCCCCCCCCCCCACGCGACACATGAGATAAAAATTGTCCAAATCCCTCCCCCACACCATCCAATCCGCACCATTCATATATTAATGGCCTCCAGCCAACGGAATCAATGTGACAGTTTCAAAGTCTGGGGATGCCGGGGACATGGACTGGGCGGGGGGGGGGGGGGGGGGGGGGGGGGGAAGGGGGGGGGGGTGAGATAGCGACACGATTGTTACAAGACGACATCGAGAAATGAAGGCCATGTCTAGGAGATGCTGGTCCATACCAGTGGCGTAGCGAGGTCGGGTGTCACCCGGTGCGGCACTTAATGGTGTCACCCCCCCCCCCCCCCTCAGAGGCGTAGCGACTCTTCCCGGTGAGGAACTTCCAATTTTCGATTTGCACCCACCCCCTCAAACTTTCGATTTGCACCCCCCCCCTCAAATTTCTCTCTATATATTTTATTATTTTTTGCCTTGGTGTCACCCCACCTAAATGATGTCACCCGGTGCGATTCGCACCCCCCCCCCCCCCCCCCCGTACGCCTCTGGTCCATACACACAGCATGAAAGCTTTTTATCGGATGTGAGCTATCCTACCCTTGTCTCCCCTACCCCCGACTCTCAATACGGACAGCAGTGTTAGGAACCAATTTAGTCAAAAACATCATCGTACGTACTTTGTCGAATAGCCTTGACCCTTCCCGTGTGTCTGTAGCTGTGAGCAGGTAACGGAATGTGCTCAATGCACGTGTTGGCGTGTGGGTCAAATTTATAGCCTTTCCTGCACGTGCATTCAAAGCCACCAGGTGTGTTTTGACAGACGCGTCCATTGTGGCACCTGGTTGTCCCGTCCCGACATTCGTCAATGTCTGTGTCCAGGTGGAAATAAAACTATGACAATACAGGTGTGACTACTGGAAGGGTGAGCTACACGTGTACTCACGCTCAAACTGTTACATTGATCAAACAAGTGAATAACTGCACTTGCATTTCTATAGCATATATATATATATATATATATATATATATATATATATATATATATATATATATATATATATATATATATATATATACATATGTGTGTATATATATGTGTATGTCTATATATGTATAGGTGACTGTGGGTGTGGGTGGGTGTGTGGTTGTGTGTGTTTGCAATTGCTGTAAACCGTTTCTTTTGTTTTTGTACTATGACTATCTATTCGAATGGTCTCGAAATAGAATGCTGCCTTTACTTTCAACATCAAAGTCATCTAACAGATTCGAGCAGAAACCGAACGCTAGACTTCCAGGATGGATGATCGTCTCTAAACCACTGGAACATAGTCTTAAACTTTCCCTAATTAAATATAACTTTTATGTTAATCATTCTTCTTCACCAAAGACTCATGTATGTTTCGTGTACTCACCAACACACAGTTCGAACCTCGAGTTCCACTCAAAGCCAGACTTCTCACAGTGGCAGGTGATGTTGAAGAGATTTTTCTGCAGACCATCAAAGTCCTGATTTTTTTCTGATGCCCAACTACATGTGGGATTCTGGGATCATGATTTTAAAACTAGGTTTTAATTAATAGAATTGTAAACATTATAGAACTGTTTCGGTGCTGAAGTGGTGATAAAATATCGGGAAAGACAATTCGATAGTCGAGTTTTTTGTTTCATCTTTTCATTGTTGTGAGGGTCAGGATTATAGTATAGGTATCAGAGAGCTTTGATTAGGATTAAGTTTGGAGCTATTCTTATGGACAAAGTTGGGGTTTAGGTTAAAGCTAGACCTAGTGTTGTAGAAAGGGTTAGAATTTCAATTAGTGTCGAGATTCAAGAAAATAGAGCAAGAACTAGCCTTGTCGACGCTTTAGTAAGTGAACAGAAGTTTTTGTGTGTGTTTTTTTTCATTTGTCTATTAAATTTTTAAAACGAAGAATAACAGATTTTCCACGTGGTTGTAAGTGTAGATGTGTAGATATAATGAAAGGCTTACCTTAAGATTACGACATGGATTTCCTTTATCGGTTTTCATGCTGTGATCTGATACAACTGAGCCTTCTGTCTTTCTGCCGTAACATGGATCTCAAAGGAAAGAAAATAGCGACTTAAGATGGAGGAAATAAATACAAAGACTATACTAAAGCAAAAACTTGAAGGCTACTACTTCAGGCATACGGGAGTAATACATTAACTGCATCCCCGTCATTATATCCCTGTATATTACCTCTTACCCCCCCCCCCCCACCACCACCACCACCACCACCGCTACCAATTACCCCCGGTCATTTTGCGAACTGTATATATTTAGGGACAGGTTAAGAAAAATCTAGGGATAAGGGTAGGGATGGCGTCATGGTTATTTATATTGTTCGGTATATGGTTCTGGATAGGGATTGGTTAAAGTTTAGGGATATAGCTAAGTTTAGGGTCAGAGATTGGAGCTAGAAATGTAGATAGATAGGAATAGGTATAATATGGATTCTAAAGATGGGGGGGGGGAATACCCGGGTAGTAATTGACAAGAGTCTGGACGGTAATTACGGGACGAAATGTCTAGGGGGGGGGGGGAGGGGCAATAGCCTAGACTCCAGACATACACAAAGGAATCAGCACAGAAGTTTCGGTAAACGTAACGAGGTTGTGATAAGAATACGATTGAAAAGTTACAAACAGGGAGGCTATAGATTTTTTGTCATCATTTGTTGTGACGTTCACATTGAAATCTTGTATTGTGAAGGTACAATATTCTCATCATTTATGTAGAGCCAAATGTACTTGTCTTATCATTTCTGGTTTCTCCATCGATTTTAAGTATGTTCCGTTCATAATTATAGTACGGTGTGGTCGGTAGCGTGCTAACCCTGTAGTCTCTAGTTCCAAGACTCGAGTCATCGGACGTACCTGTCCACTCAGCTCTAATGGGTACCCGACTCACGTTAGGGAAAGCAAAATCGTCTGTGCATAGAACAGACCATGATATTTCTTCACAAGCCGAGGCCACATAAGCTGGCAAACTACTGCATACACCGCCGTACCAGAAATATTATCTTTTATCATTTAAAATTTAAAATAATTTCGCTTCTATCAAATTCAACATCATATTTGGCGTCAAGGTTACTTTCTTGTTGATGTACCAAACAAATTATGTCTCTATATTTAATGTATGGGAGGTAAACAAATAGGTTGTTGTACCTGGACAAAACTGGATCTCCGCGCAAAGAAACGGAGCGTCGTCCGAATCTTTCCTGAAGTCGTTGACCTTGTAATCCATTCCCTGACTTTCTCGAGACTTCTCCAGGTCAGTGAGACACGGTTGACCCCTCATGTAGTTCTTTAAACCCTGCACCTTCTGTAGCGTGTACCAGCACATGTAGTAGCTGCCAGTCGTCTGCAACACAGCAGACGGTAATAACAAGGGTATCGTTATGTTCAACTTCCGGTTGGGCTAGTTGTAAAGTCATTTAAAAGATCACACGCTTTGCTACATCTTCTATGTCGGTAATTACAGTTATCTATGGCTTGTTACTTTAAATATACATTGCGTTTAAAGTATCTACCAACCTGTAGATAATTTGTATAACGATTTTATATAAAGTATGGATTTTCTACCAACATTCTTTAAACTATTACTACAAAAACAGCTGCCTTAAGTCAACCCTTAACTAACGTTACAACTCTGTACTAACTCTATCTTAAACTCACATCAACCATGTACCACCCATATACCAACACAGTAACGACCGTATAGCAACACAGTACTAACCCTGTACTAGCCCTATAAAAAACATATATCAAAACCATCCCAACCCCATACCAAAACCTTGTGCCAACCCTGTACAAACTAACCCTATACCAACCCGGCACCCCCTATACCAACCCGGCACCCCCTGTACCAACACGGCACCCCTCTACCAACCCGGCACCCCCTGTACCAACCCGGCACCCCCTGTACCAAACCGGCACCCCCTGTACCAACCCGGCACCCCCTGTACCAACCCGGCACCCCCTGTACCAACCTAGCACCCCCTGTACCAACCCGGCACCCCTATACCAACCCGGCACCCCCTGTACCAACCCGGCACCCCCTGTACCAACCCGGCACCCCCTGTACCAACCCGGCACCCCTGTACCAACCCGGCACCCTGTACCAACCCGGCACCCCCTGTACCAACCCGGCACCCCCTGAACCAACCCGGCACCCCTGTACCAACCCGGCACCCCCTGTACCAATCCGGCACCCCCTGTACCAATCGGCACCCTGAACCAACCCGGCACCCTGTACCAACCCGGCACCCCCTGTACCAATCCGCACCCTGAACCAATCCGCACCCTGAACCAACCCGGCACCCCCTGTACCAACCCAGCACCCCTTGTTTGAACCAGGCACCCCCTTTACCAACCCGGCACCCCCTGTACCAACCCGACACTCTTGTACCAACCCTAAACTGAAACAGCTCGAGCGCTGTTTTAAAAGGGTACCAAATGGTTGCGTCTTCGGGGAGGTTGATACCCAGCACATCACGCAGAGAGTAGCTGCCCTTGGCTCTACGGGCTATTTCATACACGCAGCCGTCCAGTCCCTTGTCACAGGCTTCGGCCAATGCAGGGTGGAGCTTCTTCAGGCGGGGCAGGGGAAAGTGCTTGAAAAATACCTGGGGAGAGGGGAGGGGACAACTTATGACAAACTATAGATTATATAGGTATATATATATATATATATATATATATATATATATATATATATATATATATATATATATATATATATATATATATATATATATATATATATATATATATATATAGTTTGTGTCTGTGTGTGTCCATAACCTTTCACGTATACGTGTATGTGTGTGTGTGGGGGGGGGGGGGGTTATTAAATAAAATTTATTTTGAAAAACTTGTAGTAAGCCAAGCATAGCAAAAAAAAAATAGTTATTTGGTTACTTTAAACAAGAAAAACAGCAATAAACCTTATTTAAATAAAACAAATATAAACACCACTATAAGAGCTAGCAAGTGTTTAAAATGCACTTTAGCAAGAAGATAAAACAACATTATCTCTAAGTAAAATCGTTAGCTGCACACGAAAACTCCGATACATTGTAGCGACCAATTCTTATTGTTTACAAATAGTGCCTTCTAAATCCAATTCAACCTTATATTATACCAATAATAGGATATACATTAAGTTCGTGGAATGTCCCTGAGCCCACTCAGCTCTAATGGGTACCTAACTCACGTTAGGGAGAATAAAGTGCTTACACGCATTATCTCTTCACATGCCTAGGTCAAGAAACACGATCTCTACTTCATTAGCCCAATGGATCGCTAGGTATAAAGAGGAATATTTTTTTTTACTTTATATTAAGTCACATTTCTCAAATCCTTTACGTAACACATAACCAAAGTTCGAATAAACCCCTTCCTTTTCCAAGTCTAGGTACGATGACGTCATTTACGGGCGACACCCCCCCCCCCCCTAAAACCTAGCGGTGTTAGACGTTTGATCTGAAGATGTCCGCCATCTTTGACACTACAAAGCAGGAATGTTAACTCTCTAGACCGCGAAGATCTCACGTCTGCTTGACCAGGGTCAGGGGAGTGACCTCACAATTGTTTGAAGAAAGCAGACGGCACGAACCTTTAAGAGGGGAAGTAAGTCTGACTTAATGAGTACAGCAGAGTTTCCTTTTCAAATGTACTTTTATTGTGTTTATTTATTCTTAGAATTTAAAACATCTTACTTATACTGTAGGATTGCGTAATTTATGTGTATATTTAGGGGGGGGGGGGCAAGGATGGGCGCCCGCGCCGGGGACACCATAAAAGAGTTAAGCCAATACGGAAATGGTCTGTTTAATGCGAAAATCTGTTTTATCTAGATATATGAATGCTAATTTATTTTTTATCAAGCATAGTGTAACACATTCAATGATGGGGAGGGAGGGTTGACACCCTACTACCTGTAACTTTGTACAGCTTATATAAAGCTTTTACATGGGCATTGCCTGGGTTTCGGCACAGCGTCCTACTCTATTAAGTGACGCCTTACCTTTAGGGATTTGGCACCCTGAGTCTCCGCACCAACACACTACAGATATATCTATTCTTAGGCACGGTTTAGGCGCATGAATACATTTTTAATCCATTGTTAATTCACAGTAACCACAGTTACAATGTTTGACTTAATATACACGATTTTTTGCCATCTTAGGTCATGCGTTTAGTTTGGCCATGACTGTCTAACCCTGTTTTTGAGCCCACAATATTTTACTTTGGCCATGACTTCTCACCCTGTCTTCGAACCCCCACGATTTTAGTCTGGGCATGACTGTCTCACCCTGTCTTCGATCCCCCACTATTTTAGTCTGTATGTCTGTCTCACCCTGTCTTCGAAGCCCCACTATTTTAGCCTAGGCATGACTGTCTCACCCTGTCTTCGATCCCCCACTATTTTAGTCTGTATGTCTGTCTCACCCTGTCTTCGAAGCCCCACTATTTTAGCCTAGGCATGACTGTCTCACCCTGTCTTCGATCCCCCACTATTTTAGTCTGTATGTCTGTCTCACCCTGTCTTCGAAGCCCCACTATTTTAGCCTAGGCATGACTGTCTCACCCTGTCTTCGATCCCCCACTATTTTAGTCTGTATGTCTGTCTCACCCTGTCTTCGAACCCCCACGATTTTAGTCTGGGCATGACTGTCTCACCCTGTCTTCGATCCCCCACTATTTTAGTCTGTATGTCTGTCTCACCCTGTCTTCGAAGCCCCACTATTTTAGCCTAGGCATGACTGTCTCACCCTGTCTTCGATCCCCCACTATTTTAGTCTGTATGTCTGTCTCACCCTGTCTTCGAAGCCCCACTATTTTAGCCTAGGCATGACTGTCTCACCCTGTCTTCGATCCCCCACTATTTTAGTCTGTATGTCTGTCTCACCCTGTCTTCGAAGCCCCACTATTTTAGCCTAGGCATGACTGTCTCACCCTGTCTTCGATCCCCCACTATTTTAGTCTAGGCATGACTGTCTCACCCTGTCTTCGATCCCCCCCCCCCCCCCCCCCACGATTTTAGTCTGGGCCTGACTGTCTCACCCTGTCTTCGATCCCCCACTATTTTAGTCTGTATGTCTGTCTCACCCTGTCTTCGAACCCCCACGATTTTAGTCTAGGCATGACTGTCTCACCCTGTCTTCGATCCCCCACTATTTTAGTCTGTATGTCTGTCTCACCCTGTCTTCGAAGCCCCACTATTTTAGCCTAGGCATGACTGTCTCACCCTGTCTTCGATCCCCCACTATTTTAGTCTGTATGTCTGTCTCACCCTGTCTTCGAAGCCCCACTATTTTAGCCTAGGCATGACTGTCTCACCCTGTCTTCGATCCCCCACTATTTTAGTCTGTATGTCTGTCTCACCCTGTCTTCGAAGCCCCACTATTTTAGCCTAGGCATGACTGTCTCACCCTGTCTTCGAACCCCCACTATTTTAGTCTGTATGACTATCTCACCCTGTCTTCGATCCCCCCCCCCCCCCCCCCACGATTTTAGTCTGGGCCTGACTGTCTCACCCTGTCTTCGAACCCCCAAGATTGCTCGTTGCCTTTTCTCTTGTCCACCTCATAGTATTTGTGTACAGCTAAGAAGAGCCCCGCCCACCGGATGTTTAGATCTATAGGTTTCTCGTCTGGCTTGATCACGGGACCGCAGTGGACGACATCTGCAGCACACAAAAAAAGTATTACAGTAAAACTTTAAGAACATAGAATTTTTTTTTGCAGTATTATATAATGCTGGGTCTTGTCCAGATAAGCCCCGCCACTAATGCGAAAATTGCTCGTGCGAAAAGTTAAGCCACTTGTGATCTAGGCATTAATTGAATTTTTAAACGCACGCCATAAATACAACTCTTTACCTGTCTCTATGGTTAAGGTTGGGGTTGGGTTTAGGGTTAGGGTTTTTGTTAACACAATACAGACCTTTTAATCGAAATTTCTAATAACTTGTTCCAATTTCACCCTCTTCGATGAAATCTAAGCTAGGTTACTTATCCTCCTTGTCTTATAATCTTTTTTTTTTGGGTGGCGGGGTTTAACTTTTTGGAGGGGCTTATCTGGACAAGATCAGTTTTGCTCAGGAAATAGGGGTTTTCCAGTACACATTTAGCATCGCACAGGAAATTAGTGTTTTACAGTAAAAAAAAAAAGGACATTAATAGTTTAAAATAAACAGCATTTACAACTTTGAGGTCACGAACAAAGTGTTTACAGTACACAAAATTGATTGTTTCACAATAATAAACGATTGAGGTATTTTACTGTAAACATTTTATTTTGCGTTAGGAAAGGAAAAGTGTTGTTTCTTTATTATTTTTATACAAGCTTAACATAGAAATATTCCGATTTAAACTCCATCATTTGACTAATGTTTTGTATTGTTTTAAATTAATTAAGGATCGAATGTTCATGGTAAACATTGCTAAGATTTATTATTAAGAATATAAATTCTATTTTACACACCAGAACAATATAAAATATTGATGTTTTGGTCTCAATAACAGCCAAGAGAAAATAAAAATATCATGATCATTAATTTCTTCTTGTAATTAACATTATGAAAGTAATTAATTTGTAAAGATACCAAGGAAGAAGAATTATTGTCATCATTAATTATGCTAATAAATAAAACTAAAATTTCTCGGTAATAAAATCGCGAGTCTATTTGCCGACGATCCAGACGACTATTTACATAACCTTGACAACCACACAGCGATCAGAAGATGTACAGGCAACGTCAACGGTTCTCAAGTCTATTTTAAACTGCCCCCGCCTTTGTTCAAATACAATGTTGGGGGTATTGCCAGTATTCCAGTGGCGTAGGCAGGGGGGGGGGTTAGGGGGGGTCATAACCCCCTCCCCCCCAAAAGACCCCTCGGTATATATAAAAAGTATAAGGGCGGGGTGCAAATCGAAAGTTTGGGGGGGGGTGTAAATCGAAAGTTTGACAGGGGGTGCAAATCGAAAGTTTGTCCCCGAGTAAAAATTGGAACCCCCCTTGAGACGATCCTGGCTACGCCACTGAAATAATCTTATTATTTTAAATGCAGTTAGAGTATTTCTACTGCGTAGTTAGGGAAGGAAAAATGATAGATTATATATAATGTAAAAATATGTTAGGGGCTGGTAATGGTAACAGGTTATGAAGCCAAAAATATATCTTCATTGTTGGATTAGATTATGAATGAATTGGTAGATCTAGAGAAAAAGTTACAAATTATCATATTAACAAGAATAAATGTAATATGGTTTTCTATGACCACCGACGGGGCATATAAAGCTATGATTTGATCACATCGCTTTCTTCCCCTATACCAGTCCCTAGTCCGGCACAGTGGCTGATTAAGAGGGGGGGGGGTTGACTAGGCAGCAGCCAGAGGCCCCCAAATGTTGGGTGTCTCAAAATAATGTCTTAGCTGCAACAAGATATAAACAGTCCATGTGTTATTAAAGTCAAGCGTAACTGGTTCTTCCTCTTGTCCTGACCTTAACTATAACAGCAATACAAGCGTATACAATAAGCTAATAATCTCGACACAGTACTGTTTTTCCTTCAAGTTTTCATCCAAGGACATTTTATAGAACCTACGCGTGTTTCAGTGCCGGCACCAGGTTATTTAGCGCCTTAGGCAAAACTTATTAAAACGACACCTTTCACACAAATTAATTACTAAAGAAATAAGAATAAGAAAACAATTTATCAAAAGTGACATATTAATTTATTATCAATTGCATACACGTTATAAATAGACATCAAAATCAAATTTCACTTGTCTCCTTCATCTCAAAAGTTTGTACTAATTCCTTCAATTCTAGTTTGCAAGCGTAATTGCATTTTATTGAAACTGTTGCTAAGACCACGAGTCTGTTTTGAAATTTACAACATAGCCCCCCCCCCCCCTTTGGAAAATTTTAAGTGCTTTCCCCCCCCCCCCCCCCCACCCACCCCTCTCGGGAGAAAAAAAGTCTAGAAAAATACAATGAAAAAAATAGTTCTTGTAGTGCTGGGCTCACTGCAGTCCTTCCAATGTGAGTTCCAATACGGAACATACCTGTTTTAAGCTTGACTGTCTTTAGTTATACTTGTAAAATGTCTATATTGTGTGATTATGTTTTTGTTTTTGTTGATTACTATTATTTTTTTTTCAATAAAAGGTTATACATGTTATAGATTCCAGCCTAAAATTGTTATATATGAATCCTTTAGGGGAGAGTGAAAAATATGAAGAGAACATTAATTAGATGTTTAATTTACGACTTAGACTGTATGTCTACTAATAGAAAGTAGTGCAGTCTAAAACAGCTACTGATGTATTTGTTTTTCAACTTGATAATGCTAAAAAACCTACCAAATTATTTTGTTTAGAACGCAAGCTCTATATAATTTTTACAATAGCAAATAATAACTTAAAGTTGTGTTTATATGTAAGCGATCAACCTAATGTCAAGCATTTGAAATGAATGTAAAGTTAAGCAACGAATTACCTCCCATTTGTAAATCCAAATAACAAAATTTTATTCATGGGAAATAACTTTCACAAGAATAGCTAAATTAACCAAGTGTAACTAAGACATGCTTGAAAAACACAATAAAACGCTCTACATTTCATCAAGTAATAATTATAATACGTCTTTATATTATCTATGTAAGCTTTTGAAAACATTATATTTTACTCATTGAATAATTAACTGTTTGGCTTTGTTTGAAAGTCTAAAAACGGTAGCTTTATTGTAACATACTTTTATTCAGTTTTAATGACATACAATTATAGATCAGCTTATGTTTCTAGTCTCTAGAGTAAACTGAAATTTTGGATCCCCGATATTAAGGGACGCTTTATAAATAAACCGAGAGTGATCCCCCCTGAACTTTCTCGAATATTCCTAGTATAACACTACGGGGATAGCACCTCGGGATATAGACATGGTTTTAATCCATTTTTACTTAAACTTTTTAAAATAGAATAGAATCTCGAAAAAAAATTGCGCACCAAGTGAACGCCAAAAAATATGTGAATAATAGTGCGGAATATTATTAGTACTTTATAAATTCACGTGCGTTTTTTGGAGAAATCGGAAATAGCGTAAATTACTACTTCCAGTCAACGGAAATTCCTCAAATTTTGACAAAAGGAAGAAAATTAGATCTTTTACTTACATTTGCAATTTCATTTATCTATCTGAAACAGTACTCAAGTTTGAAAAATTTAAAGTAGAATATGTGCCACTTCCGGTTACCAGAAATCGCTGAAAAGTTGATACAGAACTATTAATTTGATATAATACTAATATATGAAATTTCATCAACCTAGCTTTAACGGTACTCAAGTTATCGTGTTCACAGACACACATACACACACAAACATACACACACACAGATATAATTATGTTTTTTCCGACTCAGGGAGGTGTAAAACGTCGAGATTTGCAAAAATCTCGATATTATTTTTTTTTGCACGATTGCAATACTTTCTCTATACTTCGTATACGAGAAAGTAAAAAAACAATCACGAGTAACTATTTGAGACATTGATAGAATTATTGATTAAATATAAAACAAATTATAATTTGAAAAAACAAAATTTACGGTTAGTTATAAATTCCATCTTGTTTAATATTATATATATATATATAGATTCTTTAAGAGTGTTAATATCGATTCCTAAAAACCGTAAGATTTTTCAACTAGAGAACGCCTACCTTTCTTTTTAGTGTGTTCCGTGCCGAATTGAAATCATCTAACTTACGATAAACTCGACTACTCGATATACTCTACTACATTCACTACACATATCAAACTTCGATACCTAAACATAATTAGACTCGATGCTCCAGAACTACGATACCAACTCGTTTAACTTCACCAAGCTCTACACATGGTACTCTCAATCAACAACGATTTCACTAGACCTACAACAACACATTAACGATCAATATAATTCGATACCTTAATACCACAAGAATCAATACTCCCGAAATCCAGAAATACGATACTTCATCACCTGCATTCTCATTTCTCTATTACCCATCAGATTCAACTAGATCTTCAACTACAAAACAGCCGAATAAAAATTATGACACTTTAACACTTCGGTACCTTATACCTACGAAACGATATCAGCAACAGCCTTCCGCCGTTACTCCCAAATCTAAAAGATCCATCAAAACTTACCAAACAAAAACAATACTTTGAACACCCCGTCATTACAAAACTCTATACACCAGGACAGATTTCTAATTCAAAGTCAGAGAAAACGAGACTTACAAGCCCAATTAAAATTATTGAAATGTTCGAAATTTAAATTACGAACTTATTTAATCATTTTCTACAACTACGTGACACCAAATTAAAAAGGCAAAGTGACTCGTAAAAAGCGCCCCGACCTTTCCAAATTAGGGAGGTGGGGTTGCATTTTCACCATCGCGAATAAATATGCGCCTATATAGACCTAATTTTGGGGTGAGGGTGCAGAATTGATAGTTCGTCCTGTGTGCAGAAATAGATCGCTACTCCTTTATAAAAGTTGTTAATTATTAGGTACTTTATGATAATAGCGAATAAACATTTTGAAACCCCCTAGGGATGGCGCCCTAGGCGACCGCCTAGTTAGCGCCGGCCCTGAGTGCAGAGTTTCTTCCATGCATCTCATGCATCTACCGCCTCCCCCACCCCATGTTGACCCCCCCCCCCCGAAAATATCAAGTGCCCCCCCCCCCCTCCCTCCCCGGAGAAAAAAAGTGTGGAAGAAACACTGCCTGCGTGTATTTTCCAGACATTTTTCGCCATGGTGTGGGGTGACGGGGTTGCTCTTAAAACTTCCTGGTATGAGCATATAAAGTAGACCGATATACGTTCTGTATACTGTATACGTTTTATTTAAACAAGGTTTAAGTAGACCAATGTATGTTCTGTATACTGTATACGTTTTATTTAAACAAGGTTTGAGTAGACCAATGTATGTTTTGTATACTGTATACGTTTTATTTAAACAAGGTTAAAGTAGACCAATGTATGTTCTGTATACTTCATACGTTTTAGTTAAACAAGGTTAAAGTAGACCAATGTATGTTCTGTATACTTCATACGTTTTAGTTAAACAAGGTTTAAGTAGACCAATGTATGTTCTGTATACTGCATACGTTTTATTTAAACAAGGTTAAAGTAGACCTATATATGTTCTGTATAATGTATACGTTTTATTTAAACAAGGTTAAAGTAGACCTATATATGTTCTGTATACTGTATACGTTTTATTTAAACAAGGTTTACAGGGAGGACGAAATCCGGTAAGGGAGGGGCGCCCCCATTCCCGGACAGATGCCTGAAAGAAACACTGGATTCGACAATTTTTCGGAACTTTAAGGGTAAGAGTTTGATTCAGTGTTAAGTTTGAAATATTGTTACCAGTGGTATTTTCTATTCTAAATTGTGGGTCTACTGAAGCGATGAGTTGGCCCTACCCACTGAGAAATTAAACATTATACGTCTAATCATCCTAGTCATTAACCTCCACAAAAGACCAAGATTCCCCTACGTGACTTACCTATAAGAAAGAACAAGAACAACATCATTAAGGGACACATCCTAAAATGGTAAACAGATATGGCGAGGTGTATTCCAGTGCAAAGTTATCGATGCCTCATAAGTCAAGTGGTGTGCAAGTCTAACAGTGAGATCAGTTGCTGTGTTTCTCCAACTACGTATTTTCTTTGTAACGTATTATAACAAAAGTTAGATTAATCAGATAATCATCTTAAAAGTAAACTGGGTCTTCAACATAATGATAGGATTAGTAGGCTGTGTGATCAGAAGTATAAAAAAAAATTCCCCAAAACTGCTTCAGCTTTTATGCTTTCAGCACAGAAATGCATGGTGCAAAACAGTCTATCGTGCGCTTTAGTGTGTTGTTACTAAATTATTTTTACTTTCTCGTATATACGAAGTATAGCGAAAGTCTTGTAATCGTGCAAAAAAAAACGAGATTTTTTAAAATCTCGACGTTTTACACCTCACTGAGTCGGAAAAACATAGTTTTGCAATCTTGTCCGTATGTCTCTGTGTCTGTGTGTGTCTGTGTAAACACGATAACTCGAATACCATTACAGCTAGGTTGATGAAATTACATATATAAGTATAATATCAAAATCGTCGATCCGTATCAGCTTTTGAGCAATTTCCGATAACCGGAAGGTGAACTTTTTCTACTTTGAATTTTTCAAAAGCCTATAACTTGAGAACTATTTCAGATAGATAAATGAAATTTCACATGTAAGTAAAAGACCTAATTCTCTGCCTTCCATCAAATTTTGAGTAATTTCTGTTGATCGAAAGTAGTAATTTTAGCTATTTCCGATTTCTCAAAAAAAAAAAACGCATTTGAATTTATAAAGTACTAATAGGCACATTTTATTATGGTGTGCAATCCTTTTTCCTATGAGATTTTATTCTATTTTAAAAAGTTTAAGTATTAATAAAGGATTAAAAATCATGTCTATATCCCGAGTTTCCATCCCCTGTTGTTTCATATAAGAATATTCGAGAAAGTTTAGGGGAGATCACTCCCGGTTTATTTTGTCATACTGTTAATTTTTTAAAAAGACAAATTGTACTCGTCGAATTTCCTCCACAGTATCATAAAAAGTAAGAATATGCCCTTATCCCCTTATCTTTAAACAAATCATGTTATCTATATATAAGTAGACTATCCATGCCATGTCATTGTTTCATGTTGTACCCAGACGATAAGCTTTTTGCATAATTCAAGGAATATAAGTAGAATTTAAAAAATCTTCAAATGCTTGCAATTTTCATAGTCTCCCTTGAAATTGTTTTACTAAAATGTTAATTGAACTAATATTGATAGTTAAACTAAATATAATACATAAGTCTTTTTTTTAAATGGCGAAAAAACCCAACTATGTTTCACATTTTATAACAACAAAAAAATTAACGCAAATAACTGGCTCAATATTTTATTATGTCCAAAGATACAGATATATTATGTCGTATAAAAGACCAGAATGAGCAATAGTAAAAATAAATGAAACAAATAAAAATCTGGTCGCCAATAAAACAAAAGTTGGATTAGTTTGGTCCAACATGACCTAGAGTCAAATTCCTGCACAAGTAGACAATTTTAATACAAACAGCAAGACGAGTGTGAACAAAGGGTCAATCTGTCTATGTTAAGAAAAAAATCAGGAATGAGATCCAGTGATCAAAGTTATGGAATTTCTAGCAACAGTATTTGAATATTACCCTGATAAAGTGAGAGTCTTGCACAAAACTCTTGGTTAAAACAAACTCAGTGAGACCATGAGTCACTGGGGTAAATGAGGACAGGGTTTCTTTCAGGCATAGTCTACCAGCATTTAGTCCACCCCACCACAAAAAAAAATCATGCCAGATGCCCTCTCCCCTCCTCAGAGAAAAAAGTCTGAAAGAAACACTGAATGAGTACATCAAGAATTGTTAAACTATCAGTAGATTCATGGATTTCAGGAAATTGGGTGATACACTTGGTCCATGCATTAGCAGAGGTTTGCAAGTTCACATAGAAGAGCTTATATAACCATAGAGCACTTTAAAAATGTAAATATGTTTCAATGAGCTGTAATAAATTAGTAAAAATTCAGTGTGTATCAGCACAACATATTGCTTTAAGTCAACTGACAAAACTTATTTAAAAACAACATAGCTTGACTGGGTTAAAAAGTCTACATTTCTTTATGATTTGATGGTAAATCTAAAACAATTCTTACTGTCAGGTTTAAATAAAAAAAGTTACAAAATAATATTTTACTTCTCAATGGAAATTTGTAACTTCAAAAATATTTATTTCAACATCACAATGTTGTTAGTTATTTGTATATTTAATCATCTGAATATAACCATTTTAGTATTACTGAAGTATTAAGAGTGATTAGAAATCTATAGCCTACTTTTTTTTATTACTACTCTAAGCATAAGAGGAATGTCATGTATTCAATGTAAAAAATGTAAAGTTGTCTGGAATGTCAAAGGCAAGATATTCAACATGATGACAATATATGAAAACTAATGTAACTATAAAATAAGCAATTAAGTGAATTTTTGTTTCCATTTAACAACTTTAGTGTTTGTAATTAAATAATTATATAGTATGCATAATCAAGCTGTTAGATAAATTTAAGATGACCTGATTGCTTTAGTATTTAAATAATTATAATAGGATCAGATCTGTACAAAGGCCATTCTAATTTAGTGCAACTTGGTTTATGCTCTCTATACAAAAGTTTATATTTTGATACAAGTTTGTTTAATGTAAGACTAAATACTATTATAAATATACAACATTTATGGAATTTATGGAACTATATTGCTCTACATAAACAAAAAAATTGTATTATCATTTTTGAACATCTATCAATTTAAAAAAGCTACTATTAAAAAACAAAACTGAAAAAAAAAATGAATGAACTTAAAAAATGAGTTTATTAAGAAAATAATTTGATTACGCCCAATCTAGTGTACTCTTTGAACTGTTTGTTTAAAACACAGTTAGATTTTAAACAATTAGCTTCTTCTGATAAAAAATTGTTTTTTTTTTACAATAAATGCCAGAAGAAAAACTGACCATGGGTCTGAAAAACAAAGCTTAAAAAATATATCTTACTACTAAAGATCATGACAACAAGAAAACTTGGGAATAATGCTTCTGAAGTCTTATTTACAAAAGCTATTGTTTATTTACAACATCAAATACTTGTATTCATCATTACAAATGTGTGTATAAACAATGAAATCTTGACCACAACTTATACAGTAGTTAATATCTAGGTTAAAATATTTACAAACAGAAATGTTTAGTAGTGTCCGTTTTACCTGCAGCTTTAACATAAAAAAAAATTAAAATATACTGAAACAATGTACTGTAACATTAGGAAACAAAACAAGTAATTTATTGAGAATTTGTTTAGCTTGTTTGTAATGTGTTACTTCTGTTAATTCAGTTTCTGTTTGCAAAACATGACTTCAGACAGATGAACCATAGAGTTTATTATAATTGTTTTGCCTCCTCTAATCACAGACAGAACATGGATTTACAGATAAAAATTCTAAAAAGTAAAACTAAGTGAATTTTGGAATGTCAGAGACAAAAATATGGAACAAAATGATTTTAAAATTTATGTTGAGGTATTAGATGAAAGATTAACTACATATTGTACAGTTCATATTGTTATTGTTTAATAAATTAAAATTAACTGGTCAATGCTTACCTTAGTCTATTTGTTAGTTTAAAATATTCACAGCTTACAAAACTAAATAATCTATTACTCCAACTCTATCAAGTCGTTCGTATTTCAAAATTAAATAGATCAAAATGATTGTGATTTAAATTTAAGTTTTAACATGAACCAATTAAATGCTTTTAAAAAGTTTTATGGTTTCTAGTTGTTTTTTAAATCAAGTATGAATTCTGGAATATTCTAAAACATCAAGTGAAGTAATTGATAAACAGCTATAAGGCACTAGTTCAATAAACATATCAATAACAAGTCCAAGTGATATAATTTGTATAAATATCTGAAGCATTTTTAAAAATCTTATATACAGAAATTTTACACTTGAAATAAAAATGTATAAAATGTGCTGCTCATTTGTTGATTAAAATTGTACAGAAAATGTGTCACAGAGTCTGCATAAGATGTATTTTAAATTTGCTAGCAACAAGATCACAATAAAACAACGGTAGCCACCTTAAATGACTTAGCTTAAAGCCTAAGAGTCAAAAAAAATTTTTAACCCAATTTCTTTGTTGTAATTCAATGTAATATTTTATAGTTAGGTACAGGTCTTTTTTTTTCTAGGTCAATGTAATAATGGCCATCAATTTAAATCTTGGGATTTCAATGTAGAAAAGGAGACAATTTGAAGTTCAATATATTGCAATGCAAACACATTTTAAAATTTCTATCAGCTACTTTACAAACTATCTGGAATTTTCATCTTGACATGAGACAATAGATTTGTCTACCTAAACAAACAATGATATTGTTTACAGATTAACACCTGTCAATATAAACACTGCAGCATATTTTAAAACAAGTGTTTGAAAAACAATGTACACAATATACGCACAACTCATTGACCTGTCTATTTTACAGTCTTAAACACCTCCATGTATCTTAGAAACAATACAGAAGGTTTATTTTTATATGGTTACATCTAAATAAGCAGGGCATTCATCTTTCAAGAAATATTAAGATACATAATCATCATCCTATTTAAGCTTAAAAAAATTCTTTTACTTAAAGCATAATTTGAAAACTGCATAGACAAAATTCCAGGTAAATTAGGATGTTTGTACACATGTGAACTCTAAACCTGCTGCTGCCAACAAGAAGAAAACTAAATTTTAAGAAACAAACTCCAGATGGCATAGTTAAAGTACACTGCTTAAATGTTATATAAAACTTTCAGCAATTTTACCTGTTCTATTGTGTTGATCTGAATAATTATCATGCGATGCCATGGATTTTTCAGCTATATTTAACAAGTCTTTTGGGGATAAAACAGTTGGTGACTGCAGCCCGTTGCTGTGAACTGTTCTCTTTGGTTTGACAGGTGGATTACCTCCATTCTGCTGTTGGCGCATCTTGGCGACAAACTCCTTGTGTTTTTGCAAAGCATCTTGATTATCATGACTAAATGCAGGATTTTCTAGCCCTACATGAGGGTCAACATAGTTCTTTAGTGGGGCCAAGTCATGCTTAGATCTGGTCATGTAGCTTTGGTCATTATAGTCATACGAATCTTCTCTAGAGCGTTGACCGTCAGTGTCAGGACTGTAGCCGCTGTCAGCATTTGTAGAGCGAGATGACCTGTCGCTGTCTTGTTTCTTAAGTGGTACTTCATACATATGGTCATCACCATTAATACCTGGCCGTGATGGCCGATCATAGTGGGAGTTGACCAGTTTCCCAGAGGCAACGTTCTGATATCTATCTGGTGCTTTAATTTCCACGTTAGCATTGATATGTCCATATTTGTCAGTAACAGCTGGCTGTGTAGGTTTCTGGGGTTGGTTTCTCCTTGGTGGAGCACTTTGTTTATTCTCTCTTGGTCTTTGCCAGTCAACCGAATGCTCGTCTTCAACCCCAGAATCATAGTATCTATCAACCTTATGTGCAGCATTTGCATACCCATAAGCCATATCATGCTGATCATTTCTTGGATTGTAATATCCATCAGAATAGTCATAATCATCCAAATGTTCAGGGTGAACATTACTGTCATACCCGACAGCTCCTTTCAGCTCCAAGTCATCCGCATGCTGATCAGCTGACTGACTGTCGTAGTGGGCCGAGCTTGGCCCCGCCTCTCTATTGGGAGGGTTTCGTTGACGTTTTTTCTTTCTAAAACTCTCATACAGTCGACCAGCCTGAGCGTAGCTGTAGTTATGCTCAGGGACAGCTTCACCTATATCAGTCAGGGGCGAGACTCCGTTGATGGTCCACTGTGGGAGTAGGGCCCGGATTTCATCTGGTGATTAAAGTAAAATAATAAATTTTGTTTTTATCTTTGGAACTCTAAAAATTTAGTGTTGTTAAAAATACTTTATTTCAAGTCTCCGAAAATAAAGTATTTAAAAAGCTTCAGAAAAGTGAATAAAAGAAAGGCATGATTGGACCTTCAAATATAAAATATATTTGGAAACCAGCTGTACACTTTTCATTTTTTTTCAGTTCTTGACAGCCAACTTCATTAAAATATATACTATCAGCACATAATTTGCTGGAGGGGGATACCTTCCAACACTAAAATTAAGAACGAAGAAGAAGCACATAATGTCAAGTCATAAGAAACTTCCAAGTTTGGACCCTGTGACTAAAACACATTACCAATAATCATATTATTTCAACTTGCTGACAACTAATTCCCCTGACAATACATGTCAAATACATACCTTCAGTTACAGGAGCAAGGTGCGGCTTGGGGAATTTTTGACCATTATATTGACTCCACTCCATCTCATGCATGCCTATATCTTCAAACTTGCACAAGAACTCTAGGTTCTGAATAAACAAAAGTACGTTTGTATTTAAAAGGAAGTTATAATTTTAAAATATAAGATCAAATGAATACTATGTTTAATAAGTTCAATCACAAACTAGTTTAAATTATCAAAACTATAATATAATTTCAATTAATATTAAATCAAAGCATAGCTTCTACTTACAGGCAATTCAAACATCCCCATATTCTTTTTGAATGTAGCAGCATAACCATGGTAACGGATAACTAAATCACAGTGGTCCCATTCAGCATAGCGGAAATGTAACAAACAGTCATCAAGTCCACTAGAAGACTCTAGTGCCTCATTCATTTCCTTCTGACGGAGGTGCTCTCTATAAACTCTCTGAATCAAGGCACCAAACTGAAACTAAGTACAACATTTCCCTTTATATAAATCATTCTGTGGACATTTCAAGGAACAAATTTCCACTTTATATGAAACATAATGACAAGATTTCACTTCAATACAAAAGTCTTGTAAAGGACAAGGTACTGACCCTAATCTAAAACAAAAGTCTTGTAAAGGAAATGATACTGACCCTAATCTCCACAGATTGTCCACGGTCTATTGCTCCCTTGGCCAGATCTAGCCCCATTTGTAGCCTGCTAAGAACTTTGGGATGTGTTTGGTTCACCATGACAACCCATGGCTCTGTGTACAGTAAAACATTGGAATTTTAATAAATTAAACACAGACTAGATAGAATTTAACAAAAAGATATACAAACACAATGAGGACAATGGTGAAGAGTATTATCTCCAGTATAAGAATTTAAGAATATTGTAAAAATTTTCTACCATCATTGTAACAAGCTCCACAGTTGTGCCCTAGCCCTCTGCCAAAGTGTAGAACAGGCTGTAAAATCAGAGGCCGGCGCAAAATTTCATGTCGAAAATCATCTATTTCTTTTTTCCTTTCCATGCGGTATGTCCTAAAAAATTTTAAATAATTATTAACAGAAGATATTGTAAGCAAAAAACATACTCCACTTCGCAAAGACTTAAATGTAAGAAAATGATAACCAGAATGTAAATGATATTCAACACTAAAATTACCTTCTGTGTGGGACAACATTCACAAGCCTATCAATAGATTCTACACCTGAACCATCCGGCAGGGTTCGAACTAGTCTATATAATACATTGTTGTTTTGACCAACCGATTCACGGCTAGCGATGATCAAGGCTACAGGAAAGTCTTCCATTTTTGCAACCTAGACACAAAGAGAAGTATTTATGTATTTATATGCAGATATTATTTGTTGAATTACAAACTTCTTGCATTTATCAAATAATTTAAAAGAATGGCAACATATGAAATCAAATGATATGTAAAAATCAAATTTAAGTAATAGGCAGCCTGATTGCAGTCTGAACAGGCCTACTAACAGTTGTTAATATTAAGACAAGTGTAAGGCCTACACATCAATTGTTCTCATTGATGAATTTAGCCTTACTCCTCTGTTGTAGAGGGGTATTGAGGACACTAATCCGACATAGCCCGGCATAAATAGGTAGATTCGTTATCTTTCATTCATTAAGAAAAATTAAGAACCGAAAAATGCATTAAAATAAATAGGTTTAATAGGCCAGGTAATAAACACTAAGCTACATTTTTTGTGTGTTATCTTTTGACAGTGATAGACCTACACTTTTTTCTTCTTGCATTTATCAAATAATTTAAAAGAATGGCAGATCTAAATGTTTTTGTGATTGTGTGTGTGTGGGTGCCAAACCTTAACGTCGGGCCTAACAGAAAAGTAAAAGTTTGAAAGTAAATTAATAATAATAACAACGTACACACGTTAGGCCCTATTTACCTGGATTTATAATGTTATCAGTGGTAATTTAAAATTTTGAACTAACTGTGTGTTACGTACGGTTTGTTAGAAATTTAAACCGACTTGAATTGACATGGTCACGACAAGAAAACTAACGTCTTCAAAACCAGGAAATGGACACATTCTTGTAGTCATACGCCATCTTAGTACAGGTGACAAGGGACAAGAGAAAAGTAGGTCATGTCAGGTGTCATTCTTATCCGGTGTTCAGGTAAATTATACGGCATTTTCAATTATCACTGAGAAAAAAATAAGTTTCTGAATAAATGCTAAAAATTGAATAAAAAGTACACATTATAAACAAAAATTTTTAAACGCACTAGAGCAATTGTGCTAATATCGTGGCGTTTTTTCATCTTTAGTTGGCAGCCATTAATTGATCGACATTCATGCCAAACTTTTCCAACATTCGTTGGCACCGGGCCGCTTTCAAACACAAATTGTCGGAAAATTGATTGGGGGTGTGTGCTGTAAAATTATCCAGCCCTCTGTGATTATTACATCACAAGGTCTAATTATATCTTACTTTAGCTCTCTGTAGCTCGTAGAATACAATGGCCCTGGATCTGCCACGGCTAGCTCCCATCCCTCCCACATCTTTTTTACACCCCCCCCCCCAAATAAAATAAGTTGCACTCTAGTGTAGGCCTACCGCCCCACTCCCTCAAAATGCGATTTTTATTTGGTTAAAACAGCGATTTTTTTCAAATTTTTTTTTGACCTGTCGGTCAAAACTGGGTGTCTTATATTGGTTATTACAGTACACATCAAGTCTTTGAAAGATACGAAATAACGGCGAAAAAAAAAGAATAGTGCAGTGACGTTTTTTTTTTACGGATGACCACTGTTCAAACTTTATCTACCACTATAGTGTATAGTCTGCTTTAAAGCAAAACACCATTTGTGACATTGATGTTTTTCATTATTATCTTGTTATATACGAGGATGGACGGTATTACACATAGATCTATTTAGCAAGAACCCTAATAGGCTACACCTGATGCAACACGCGGTTAAAACTTTTCTTCTCCTTATAGGCTTACGTTTTGCGAAAGGGGTCGTCCATAAAGACGTCATGCATTTTAAACGATTTTACCCTTCCCTCCACAACATAAAAAAGTCCCCTCCCCAGGTTCTTCACAGTGTTCCACTTCACTCCGCAGTCTCCAAATAAAAATAAATGTATGTTTGTCTGACTCTGTGTCTTGTGTACATTACAAAACCTATCCACGATCGCCATGATACTCGGGAGGTTGTAGAGTAAGCTAACTGAGACATGGTTGGTATAAACCAGTGGCGTAGCTAGGATTTTTGGGCCCCTATGCAAAAAGTGGCGTAGCGACCCTTCCCGGCGACCGGGAACAAACTTTCGATTTGCACCCCCCCCCCTCAGACTTTCGATTTGCACCCCCCCCCCCCTCAAACTTTCGATTCCCCCCCCCCTCAGACTTTCGATTTGCACCCCTCCCCCTCAAACTTTCGAAATAGGGCCCCTATTTGCCTTGGGCCCCTATGCCTTGCTTAGGCTAGCTTTACGGTAGCTACGCCACAGGTATAAACGAAACAATTCTACACTCTACACGTTCAGCTGAAAATTTATAAAGTAATAGTGGTCGGTCGGATTTGTATTCTGCAATGCAAATTATTGTAAATCTAAAAACATCGATATGGTTTTTGGTCGCGCAGTCGTACTAGCACAGCAGCCTCGATTTGAATGGCTTTTTAGACGAAACATCGCTGCTGCCTTAAGGGGTTATGCATATGCCTAAATTTATGAAGTGGAAAATGTTGTAAACGGCGAACGGATTCTAATAAGAGAAACAACATGACTTAAAGTGTTATCAAGGCATGTAACACTAGAATAAGCCCAAAACAGGCGTATACATTTGTGATGCTTGTTTTAGAAATAAAGTATAAGAACAATATTAATTAATACAACCATTTTTCTTTACTCAAAAAAGTTTCTATAGCTAGTAAGTCGTATGTATGATTATTTTCTCTTCATATTTGCTCTTGTTCATTCTTTGGCGATATACCTTCAGTGGCCAGGAATATGTGTTGGGGAGAGATTCAATTTTTCACACACACACACACACACGCACGCACACACACACACACGCACACTCACTCACTCACTCACACACAAACATACGCATACACACATGTATTTGTTTATATGTAATGTTATATATATATATATATATATATATATATATATATATATATATATATATATATATATATAAAACATATAGTCCATTTATATATAGACTTACGGGTATTTTGGAAGAGTTTAACTTGCAAATATTATTTAGGCCTAGTAATGGATGTTACCAAAAATATCAAATCTCTATATTTATGTACACATTACGTGTTATTGAATTAGTAATTTTGCAGCATGTTTTTGAGAGGTCTACTAAATTTTTGTGGACGTCCATAATGGGGGGGGGGGAGGTTCGCTTGTGGACTGGGGAGGGGGGTCTAAAATTTCAATTTTTTTGTGTACGTCATAAATGGATGACCCCTAATATTAAATTAAATTACGCATTAAATATAACAAAACTCTTCTATGTATAAAGCTAAGTTATTCATTTTAAAACTAATTTAGATAATTTAGGCAGCGAGAGTGCTGTCCCCTTAAAGCGGAACTGCATATTTCCATAGAGACTAGCCATTTTATGTAATATGTAGAGTTTATCAGTCAAGATCGGCACAGAATAATGTCCAATTCTTGCATCGGACGTTAAAATCTTTTCATTTAGGTCTATTCTATCGGATGCATACATATCTCATGATATACACTTAATCTATACGGTCAACTGCTGAATAAAAATGAGTACGACGGACAGAACACAAAGTCAAAGGTAAATAGTTAATAGGGCCTATAAATTTAAAATTAAGGAAGGTAATCTATCGTTTTGGGTACGTAAAATCGCCCGCGGCTATTAATGTACGAAAACGTTACCTCATTGTCAAGACTTTAATAGAAGTATATTGTCATATGTTTGTGTCAAATAATATAAATAAATAAATAATAGGTAAAATCTTAGTTTAGCGTCGTAAATTCCAACGTAGCTAGTAATGTGCGATGAAGGTAACTAATGAATATTTCTTTCATTTGGCCATATTTATGTCATATTTTACATAATATAACAGATAATTGAATAACAAATCACAATCTAAGACCAAACCAGTCATAAATATCCTGGAATAAACTTTAAACTACCCCGTTCGAGACAACAATGAGTAAACACAAGCAGCGGCCATGTTTCAAAAACAATAATAGACTAGTTTCCCTTGAAAAATTGTCTATTCGCATGTCTTTTGTGTTGATTTTGTGGTTTAATATGCTTGTTTTGTATTGTTTTAATATATGCCTGGGGGTCGTCCATAAATGACGTCACACTCGTAGGGGGAGTGGGGTCCGTAATTTTGTGACGGTGTGTGGTGAGGGGGAGGGGTTCAGATGGTGCGACGTCACACTTTTGCATTATAAAAAAGCAATGTTAGAAAACGAATTTTAGACGTTATTTTGCGTTTTAGATAACTGTTTATAAATTGTAATAGTTTAGACAAGATTTTGGAAAAATATCGATGTTTTAAAAAAAATTACGGACCCCCCCCCCCCTCCCCCTACGAGTGTGACGTCATTTATGGATGACCCCTTATGACTTGTTGTGACATTGACAACAAAAATATGACGGAGGTTGGGGTTTAATTAAGGTAAAGAGAAGTAAAAAGAATGTCATAAGTTACGATAGAATCACTAATTGATGAAAAGAAAAACCTGAAATGAAAATAGTGAACATTCAAACAATAAGAAAAAACTCAAACTATATAGTAATAGTAAGATCAAATAAACATTAGTAAAAAAAAACGTGATTTAAAACATGGATACAAGTTGCATCTCACAATGCTTCTAGAATTAATAAAATTATTTGTTAGGAGATTCAGTTTTTAAAGAGCAGAATTTAAAAAAAAAATGCTTTGTTATACGGACTATACAACAAGACAATCATATTTAAATACATTTTCATACGAATAGAAATGAAAGGGAAGCTACTCTAAATAACATTTTCTTAAGATGGCTGCTGTTTTTAATAGCAAATTTACTATCTCGAACAGGGTTGATAAAAATTAATTTCAGGATATTTAAATTGATTTAACCATAAATGGTGATCTATTATTCAATTATTTATAATATTTTATCAAAATATACGAAAATATACTCATATTTAATGACATATTCATTATTGCACTCTCTCCTACATTACTAGTTTTGGCCGAATTTACGACGCTAAACTAAGATTTTACCATAATAAACCTAAATCAATGGCTAAATATATCGATATAGGCCAGAAATTAACTTTAAACAGCAGTGTCTGAGAGCAAGATTTGCTATATATTAACTATATAAGTAGCAGCCATGTGTAAAATAGAGTGGTTTCCCCCTGAATCTGGCGCTATAAGCTTATAAAAATAAAACTTAGACAAGATGGCTGCTATAGCAAATGTGCATGGTTGCATCTGTTGGAAAAATCGCTAGTCTTCATTTATTACTGAAAAGTTTTAATTCAATTGTTTAAAAACAGGTACATAAATGAAACAAGGAAACATTTTTGTATTTTAAAAAACATAAATCCTCCTCGAAATGTGAAATACTTATTAAAATGTAAGGAGTCACCTGTTTTTCACATTACAAGTCGCGGGCGATTTTACGTACCTAAAACGACTAGTAATGTGAAAAACAGGTGACTCCTAAAATTTTAATAATTATTTCACATTTTGAGGAGGATTTATGTTTTAAAAAATACAAAAATGTTTCCTTGTTTCATTTATGTAGAATCTACCTGTTTTTAAACAATTAATTAAAACTTTTCAGTAATAAATGAAGACTTTCGATGTTTCCAACAGATGCAACAATTCTTATTTACTAGATCTATAGCAGGCAACTTCTTTAAGTTTTTTGGAAAACTTATAACGCGAGATTCAGGGGAAGCTACTCTAACTTACAAGTGGCTGCTTTTTATATAGCAAATCCTGCTCGCAAACACTGCTGTTTAAAGTTAATTTCTTGCCTATATTGATTATTGATATATTTAGCCATTGATTTAGGTTTATTATTCATTTATCTATAATATTTGACACAAATATATCACAGTATACTTCTATTAAAGCCTTGACAATGAGATAACTTTTTCATACATTACTAGCCGCTGGCGAATTTACGTACCTAAAACGATAGATTACCTAGATGCTATATAAATATTAACTAGAGAGTACAGGCCTATCCTATAGTTAGCTACTAACTAGATCTAGGCAATACCCCCCTCATTTATAAAAAATCTTGAAAGTAAAAAAGTCCAAGTGACACCACCACTGCAGGTCCTTCTACTGCGAATAGACTACTTCGACTAGTCTAGACTTACAACATGAAAGTATGTGCATATTCTAGATCAGGGGTCTCCAAAATACGGCCCGCGGGCCGGATGCAGCCCGCGAAGTCTTCTCATCCGGCCCGCGGAGATCTTTTTGTCCACGGAAAAAACATTTGTTGATGATGGCTGAGGAACTTTGCCCAGAAAAATCAAAGACATGCCTGGAAGAAACTGGCCCCCGAACTGAAATTTGATAGTCAATGCGGCCCTCGGACTGAAAAGTTTGGAGACCCCTGTTCTAGATGGTAATGAACAAATAAACAAAAATAATCTTTCATAAAAAACTAGCAGGAAAACATGTTTTTAGCCTAAATATTTACTTTTAGATTTTAGAGGGGATTTGAGCAGATTCTAAAATTAATATTTTTGCTATGAATTATAATTTTTTTTTCAGTGGATTAAGTATTTTTCGGTATGTATTAAGTAAATTCAAAGCATTGTGTTTGTTCCTTTTTTTATTTAAAATTTTATGTTTTAAAAATTACTTTTGAAATGTATTAATTCATTGTAAATAAATAAAGTTTCAAAAACTTAAAGAGACAAAATGAATAATGGAAACCAAAGTAATAATAAGCGAGCAAACTTTAAATATAACTTGCCACATTGACACATTTTCACATTTTTCAAAAGCCATAAAAAGTTTCCAAAAGAGTTGCCAAAGGTTTTGAAACAATTCTGGCACCAAATCAGTTTTGTCCTTAAATTTATTATGGAATATGTTAAACATATTATGGAATATGTTAAATTGAAATAATTGGAATACAAATTTAGCATACCCATTAATATTATTTTCATATACTGATTCAAACTTTGGAAAAATCTATTTCGTTGCTGCTATATAACTTATTTTTCTATAAAATGTAATATCTAAGCCTAATTAGTTTAATAAATGTACAAATAATAAATAAAAATAGAGGTCATACTTAAGCCCAAAAGTGCAAGCTTAAATTTTTTTTAAATGTACAGAAAAGAAGAAATTAAAATACATACAACTATAATTGTTTTTCTTTTTTAGGGGTGGGAGGGGGGGGGGGACGACACTGTCAGGTGCCGCAGCGGGGAGCACCAGACCGAGCAACGCCACTCAGTGGATGACTAGATCTGATCTAATATTAGCTAGACTCCAGACTTAAAAATTAAGAGTAGGTTAAGATAATATGTCAAAGACAAGGCAATCACCAGGCCTTCTTAAGTGATGACTAACAAGTAAATTATCTAACGTACTTAATTTTTTATTAATAAGATATACTTAAATCAGTTAGGACTGCCCAGTTAGTGAGTAATAGCTAATTTTAGTAATTACTAATTAGGGGATAGTTATAGAACTATATTTGATCATGTTTAAATCAGCCTAACTTTTAAAAAGTATTTCTACTGAGATCTTTAGTATATGTAGGTATTTCTTCTATACATGTGACACCACTTCATCTTTCAAGCAGCAACCAACATTTTTAAAGAATTTTTTAGCCTATATTTAAGTAACCTAATCATATTATGTTAATAAAAATATAAAATGCAGAATATCTAGTTACTAGTTAGGGACAGGTGAATTTACTTATTTCTTTCCTCAGCCAATTAACTGCTGGGTCATCAGAGCCACTGGGCACAAGCCATAGCTCTGAAATCGCCAAACCTACAATTGAAGCTCTTAGGTATCTTGAGGATATAGGTAATTTTTAAATTCATATTTAATCCTTTTCTTTATAAAAACTAATTAATCCTGTGTTTATGCATAAATATAATTCCAGTCAATGTAGAAGAAAACTAACCTTCTGTTATTTCAAAAAATATTTTCTTATTTATAGTGTAATTTGTATTTTAATTTTCCAGTGCCAGAAGAGGACTTCAAGTATGTGATGTTTGATGACAACCTTGTCACTGTGTCCGACACTGGCAAGGAGCTGGGAGAATTTACTGTCACTGTTGAGCCCACGCGCTACAAGGGACTGGAGTGTTTTCTTATCCACGCCAACAGTCACGGTAGTATAGACGGAGTTCCGTGTGGGACGTCTATAGTTTGTCATGTGTCCAAGTGTTTGGAAACTTTAGAACAGCAGCACCATGAGTATGTAAAGGTAAGGATTTCAAATTTTTTTTTTTTAATTTTTTTTTACTGATAGTGTGACAGGTACAAATTAGTGGAGATTTACACAGTTCACACAAATATTTTATCTCTCCACTTATACATCTTAAGCAATTTTTAATTTCACAATTTTTATCTATATTATTGTTGGCTAAATACTGAGAAACCAATTTTGTTTTTCCAATAGTTGGACAATTGTCCATTAGACAGAAAAACTTTTCTTGTGCGACAGAGTGATAGCTATACTATGAATAGAATCATTGCACAAGGGGAGGTAAGTTAGATATATATTAAAATTTATTTTTCAAAATGCGTGACAAAAATATCATAGTCACATTATTAAGTATACATTTCAATCTCTTACTTCGGTTAAAAATTCACTTGTATTTTTTCTTTATAGGATGTTCAGCGCTCAACAAAATCTATTCCAGTAGAACACATGCGAGGTTTTATATCTGAAGGTTTGTGTTGTATGTTTACATGTCAGTTTTATATCTGAAGGTTTGTGTTGTATGTCAGTTTTATGTGTATAGAATTAAGTCATTTTTTTCTTTATCTAGACAGAAACAAATAATCAACAAGATTAACCACCTTTTATTTTAATTTGTAGGTTCTAACCTGCTCCTACATCGACTGCTCATTGAGAAATCTATGGAATATGATTTACAATTCATTTCTTTTGACTCTGAAACAAACTTGTGTCCTGTAATATATGTGAGTTTTTTTTTCTATTTGTTAATTAAAAAAGTAGGGGTCGGCGTGGTCGAGTCGGTAAAGCTCATGGTTGCTAAACCGAAAACTCTCGAGTTCGAACCCTCGGGCAGATGAGGCTCGCTAGCTGGGGACAGCCACTCTTCTAGGAGAGACAACTCCAAAATTAAACAACTGCTGCCTTGTAGTTTGTTCTTGGTTGGACAAAGGCTATGGAAGCAAATCCAAAAAGAAAAGCAGGCTGAAATCGGAGTGAATGGCCTCAAAACCAGTTGACACGTAACGCTTAATTGTGTTGGAGGCGTGGTCGAGTCGGCAAAAAGCTGATGGTTGATAAATTCGAACGAAGTCTCGAGTTCAAACCTACTGGCAGATAAATCTCGACACTAATATCTTCAACACTAATAATTAAGAACGAAGAAGAAGAAAAAAGAAGAATTAAAAAAGTTATTTTTTTTTGTTACACCAGGTATTTATTTTTACCAAATTTTTTATTGGACAGAAAAGGTTGGATGAAAGAACACAGACAGTGGAAGATGTTGAGCTGAGAGTGTATGGGATAGAGAGAACAATCCACTCTATGGTTGATCTACCCACTACATGGCAGTCCTACTTTATGAAAGATGGGTGAGACTTATAAATTTATTACTTCTTTCAATATTAACTGCAGTTTCAGTAGCTGACTCTTTCTTATAAATCTGTTACTTTTTTCAATATTAGCAACTATTATTTCAGTAACTTCCTATATGAACTGACACAGTATCAGAAAGATTTTGTTGAAGATAATTTTATTCTACTTTGTTTTACCCTTACTGTCTGGGTAATAAAAACATTTTTACCCACCATATTTACATGCTAAATGACAACACATTTTTCAATCATACATTTTTTAAAAATAATTGTTTTAAAATATATAACTTCATTAAGAAAATATATGAGATAATAGTCTTAGGTTTTTTATTCTTGTGTCAAATTAGTTTAATCAATTACAATATACAATAGATAAAAATAATGCCAAATCTAGAACAAATTTAAACGAAACCTCAACATTTTAATTGTTATTTAAATAAAAGCATGTTAAAAATATTTTTAAAAAGTATACCATATCACTGGCAGAACTCTCTTTTCCAATATCACTAATTGATTTACATTTAACTCCAAACCCAATAATTGGCATTTAGCCTATTTAGTTTTGAATTCACTAACTATATTGCCCATGATTCCTAAAAGGTTTCAGAACTAGAAGCAAGCTGTGAATGTGATAAAACATAAGCCTGTTGTACATAGATTTAAAATTAATTGATTTAATCTGTTTTACCATTTCCTCCCTTTAGCCATCTAACAAATCGGGTTCAAATAGGATCACCAGTAACAATGAAATTAGCTAAAGTCCCGTTAAGAATTGAAAGAGGTTAGTAAAGGCAATTAGCATATTTCTTTATCTAAACAAATGACTGAGTTAAGCTACTGAAATATCTAACTAAATAAAACATTGATTTAATTGTTTTAACAAATTGTTTGTGTAGATGAAGAAACACCAAAGCCAGTGTTTATTTAATTGTTTTAACAAATTGTTTGTGTAGATGAAGAAACACCAAAGCCAGTGTTTATTTAATTGTTTTAACAAATTGTTTGTGTAGATGAAGAAACACCAAAGCCAGTGTTTGAGAAAAAAGAGCTCAACTGGGAGGAAGACATGCAGCTTCACTCCAGGTTTCTAGACAGGAAGGTAAGTCAGGTGTCTCTGTCTTGTCTTCATGGACATCTCTCTATCTTGTTCATCATGTCACTGTGACATCATCTCCTGTTTTAATTAAAACTCTAATTTTGAAAATACTAATGCTACAGTTTTTAACCATGGTGATTTTTTATTTAATTTTTTTTTGTGAATAGAACTTTTTAACCAACACATATAATTTTTAATGCATACTTGAAAAAAAAACATTTTGCTTCCATGTAATTGTTTATTGCAAACCTTTTTTTTATTGAAAATAAATTTAGCATCAAAACAGTTTGCTTTACAAAGTCAGAAGTTTCTATTAAAGTTTTAAACTGTTGTGATTGTCTTTAATTTTGTCATTGATTCAAATTTCTACTGACCCCAACACTGTTGTGATTGTCTTTAGTTTTGTCATTGATTCAAATTTCTACTGACCCCAACACTGTTGTGATTGTCTTTAGTTTTGTCATTGATTCAAATTTCTACTGACCCCAACACTGTTGTGATTGTCTTTAGTTTTATCATTGATTCAAATTTCTACTGACCCCAACACTGTTGTGATTGTCTTTAGTTTTGTCATTGATTCAAATTTCTACTGACCCCAACACTGTTGTGTCTGACAGGAAGAGCTCAAGGGTGACCACGCCACTTACATGCGCCACCACCCAGAACTTCGGGCGCTACTTGCAGACTTCCTACAGTTCCTGCTCCTACGTAAACCTGATGACATCCTAGCCTTTGCTGCCAATTATTTTGCTGCTTTCTCAACTTCCATGCCTGACCCATCCCCATACCTGGCTTCCAACGCACCTGTACCTTTCCCAGACAGCCACACCAATGCAAAGATTGAAGAGCTGAGAACTCCCATGAGATAAATTTTCCATTTTCATTGTTATCTCCCCTTAACTTAACAGTTTAAAAAAAATTCCAAAATTGTTTGATGGTTTCCCTTGTTGACTGCTAGACAAACATCTTCCTATAAATATGGAACTAGACTTAAGAATGCAGTTTAAGTATTTTATACTATTTGTGATTATATAATAAATATTTAAGAAGCTTATCATAAAAAAAGTTAATTATCTGTTTACAACAAATCAATGCATTGACTAACAGGTGATACAATATGGTACACCAGCATAATAAATTGTAGATGTGTTGTATATGAGTTGTGATGGATGTAGAAACATATACAGCTATCTGTGATGACTTGAAGACAATTGAATGGCTGTTTCTCATCCCATTTTATCTGTATAAAAAATGTATTTATATATGCAACCCTTTATCTTAACCTCTTTTAACCTCATAATATTAAGCACACACATTATAATTTAGGAGCTATTTAATTTATATATTCATTGTAAACTTTTGTTTACTTACTCTTATCAGTATGGTTGTAAATTTGTCTATGCATATTCTATAGTTGGAATATTTGAACATGAATTTCAAACCTTTTGTAATGATATTATTGCATCAAGTACTAATTATGAAAAATGACATTTTAAAAAAGTAAGGCTTACCAGTGGATTGGTAATATTACTGTTTTTACACAGGCAAGAGCTCGTAATTTTATAAAGTAATTCTTAATGTGTCGATCATAATTTTAAAAAGTAATTCTTAATGGGTCAATCATAATTTTAAAAAGTAATTCTTAATGTGTCAATCATAATTTTAAAAGTTGGTCTTTTTGACCAGGATAGTTTTATATTTTATACCAGCTTAATAGAGAGCAGTGATAGTTATGGGCTGTGCCTTTGCCGTCCAGTTAGTGGACTTTAAAAAAAAAACTAGGTTGTGATTGTTGTGAAAGAAAAGTATTTTTCTTATAAATTATTTTAATAGCAGTATTTGAAAAACTGTTCCATGACCTATTTTAGAATTTTTAAATGTTAAATTACTTCCCCTGAATGTTGTTGATTTTTGTTCCCCCCTAACATTATGCAGGCTTATTTGTTAAATACCTAACATTCGATTGGTTGGGGTACAGAAGGGGATGCCACATTGGGTTAAAAGATTAACCTTGACATTGGTAAGGGTAAAGTGTAGGGGAGGGGGTCAACATTAGGTTAAAAGATTAACCTTGACATTGGTAAGGGTAAAGTGGGGTGGTCAACATTAAATTAAAAGATTGACATTGGTTGGGGAATCAATAAGGCAAATTTATTTTCTTAGAGGGGGGAGACCAGTTACTGAAAGAGGCCAAGCTTAAGTTTTAAAAAATTCTGATGGGTTTCAGCGGTGGTGGTGTTGGAGGGGGGGGGGTGTCAGCATACCCTTGTGCCAGCTGTACTAAGTGTAAACTACTAGTCAAGGGAGACCATATTTATTGAACCAAAACAAGGTGACCACTCACCCCCTCCCCACCTCAGCCTAGTTGTAAACTTTACAATGTTACCATGTCCACATCTTGATATTTTGATCCCCCAGCCATACCTAGTTTCTACCATCACTTGTGTACATTTGCTTCACTAAAAATTTGGTTATTCAATGTTTTAAACAATCCTTCAATAAAAACATGAAGCATGTTTGAAAACAAACATTTTAAAAATACATATATTGTTCATTTGTCTTTTATAACTTGCTTTTAGCGCTCTGTATAGTATCTCTGTAAAGTACTTCTGTTCAAGTTTGTTTTCTTGTTTTACTAAAAACCTTCAGTTTGTTCAGTACAAAACACAATTTGGCATCAGCACATAAAACATCTAGGTAAAATATGTAACCAATAGTAACATATCTGGAGATTCTATAGACTTTTTGATGCAACTAGTAATTAAAAACATAAATAACAGAAACATCTAAAAATAAGGTTAAAGTTCTTTTAGAAATTTATTAGCATACAATATAAATTATAACAATCAAAATCATAAATAGATCTATGTAATTGAGTACATCAATGTTTTAAGTTTGATATAAATGATTCTATAAATACAGTATCCTAACTTATAAAAGTTAAATTATTTACAATGGATTTCACTTAAAATTTCCAGAATGATTTCTTCTTCTTCTTGGGTGCTTTCTTTGATTTCCCGGCGTCCGCGTCTTTCGGTGCCTCGGCGTCACTGGCGTAAATATCGCCTGAGATGATCGTCTGCGTCTCTTTCGCGTTCTGGTCGACTTTAGCCAGAGCTGCTTTTTTAGCAAGTTGGGCCAGCTGAAGATAATTTTAGTATTACAGTTTTTTTTTTAATTTATAAATTTTAAAAAAATTGAACGTTATAAGTTGAATACAAGACGTCTACCCTACACAGTTAGAAACAAAAGGCCTATAGTTTACGTGAAGAGGTGGGATTCTATTCGAACTCTACACCGTTAAACGTGTAAGCTCTGACTAGGCTAGTAGTTTCAGAACAAAATTATGCAAGTGTCTTTAGTAACCATGTTTGAATTGAAGATAGACTACGAGTATAAACACAAGATTCGGCTTCTTGTGAGCAGTAAGCTTCGTGTATAACTTGAAACAATTTAGAGGGGAAACTTTATTCACTTGAACGAAAACAACTACATAAGGACATCACCACGAAAGAGCAATAGTGACTTAGCATTCAAACAACTTTAGGGTCTAGTGAGCACAGTCAAAACAAGAAAATTAAGATTGTATGGGTGTGTCACACGAAAATTAAGATTGTATGGGTGTGTCACATGAAAATTAAGATGGTGTGTGTGTGTCACATGAAAACTAAGATGGTGTGGGTGTGTCACACGAACACTAAGATGGTATGGGTGTGTCACACGATCACGGCCTATCCAAAACAATAATACAGTGCGCTATGACAGGAGGGAGAAGACGTCATTGGTTGGAGGACATAGTGTTTGGACAAGGATGCCCGATGCAGGACCACTCAGGGCAGCAGAGGACCGAGACAGATGGCAGAAAATTATTAGAAATCTTTGGTGCCCCAGCGAGGGTGTGGGGAAATTGCGAGACGCGAAAAGCGAAATGGCGAGGCGGGAAAATGCGAGAAGGTAATGCGAGACATACCTGCGGAATTAAGGGTAAATAGCGAGACACTTTTTGCGAAAAAAAAGTTTTTTTTCCATCTTTATTTATTTAAATTATTTTTTTTTTGTTTTTAAATAAACAAGCATTTAGCCATACCCTTTAACACGAGTGTTGTATGTTGTCATTTTTATCTAGATTTTATTATATAGATAGATACTAAGACTTAACTAAGAAGATAGAAAGATCTATATCTAGATCTATCTATTTAAAAATCGTAACATCGTTGCTGTGCTATTGTCATCGCCCGCTCTCGTTTGCGAGAGGAAAATCCCGTCTCAGTCGGAATCTATCTATATACTACTAAAAGTCAAGTTTGTTTACATGTTTGAATATTTATTTGTTTTTTTGTTTGTTTTTTTGTTTGTTTGTTTGTTTGCCTGATCGACTATTGTGATATGTTCGACTCAATCTGGATAGCTGTAAAATAGTGTGTAGGTAGAGAATAATTTTTTAATGCAGACAGACTGTTAATCACACATTTATTTAAAGACGTTAATTAATTTATTGATTTATTCATACGCAGAATAACCCATTTTTTTAAAAAAGATTAAAACGACCACTACACTCGGCGGGACCGTGACGTCACAGGTTTTTGTTTACTCTTTAGTACAATAAAATGGCGGCGTCTATCGAAGAAAATTGTGTTCCCATTCAAAAGTTTAACGCGTTCTAAATCTAATTTTCTGCCGGTTATAACTTTAACAATACGTCAGTTTGCTGTATTTATTACGTTCCAACACTTATATCAATTTTAAACTGTCTTTTTTCATTTAGTTTTACAATAAATTTCTCTAGATCTAAAGATCAGCTGTCGAAGGAAAGTTATGAATCTAGCCTAGATCTAGATCTAGCCTAGATCTAGGTCACTAGACTCAATGTAAATTCTAGATCTAGACTTAATGTAAATTCTACATCTAGAATCTATTTCAGGCCTTAATACATCTAGAATCTATTTCAGGCCTCAATTATTTTATATAAATCTTTGTTTGGCTAATTTAAGATAAAATTTAATTTGAAAGTTACTAGATTCCACTACTAGACTTAGATCTAGATCTATGCGCGGAGACTCAAAAGTATAGTATAAAAATTCATTTGTGACGTCACGAGTAAATAGCTAAGTTGATAGCGTAGTCCGCTCTCATGTAGGTGGCACAGGTTCTAGACCAATATGTCAATGATCTTTTTTTTTCAATTTTTTTTTTATATGTGAATGATAAAGTTGCCTATCTGAACTTGGCAGGATACAGGGCAGGTGAAGTAGAGTTCATCTGTTTCTTTGTCCTAAGCATATGAAAGGATAGTGTGGTCAGAGACATGCTCGGCTGGAATCGTTTTTTAAACGATAAAAACATGTTGTCTGAGACTTGGCGGGACACTGGGCAGGTGAAGTAGAGTTGAGTAGGTCACATGTGACGTCAGTATATGAAGGGATAGTCCGAAATCGGTGTTTTCGGTGTTTTTAAAAGATAAGAAACATATTTTTGAATGTGGGGTCTGTTTTTTGTGACGATAAGTGACACTGCAGTAGCGTAGCGAGGAGGGGGGGGGGGCGGGAAGGGGAGGCGGGGGGGGGGGGGGCGGGGGGGGGGGGAAGGGGAGGTGGAAGGGGGTGGGGCGGGGGGGGGGGACATATGTTGGGGCGCCAAAATGGTTTGGAAAAATAAATTGAAAGGTTGAGGGGGGTTCAAATCGAAAGTTTGAGTGGGGGGGCGGGGGGGTGGGTGCACATCAAAAGTTTGAGGGGGGGGGGGGGGTTGAAAATCGAAATCTTGGGGGGGGGTGCACATCAAAAGTTTGAGGGGGGGGGGGTTGAAAATCGAAATCTTGGGGGGGGGGGGGGGGGTTAAAATCGAAAAGTTTGTCCCCGGGCGCCGGGAAGGCTCGCTATGCCTCTGAGTGACAGACGTGATGTTTTTTGATGGATGACCCCCGAAACCCACAGTTATCCAACGGATGACGGGTATTCTAGTCTATATACTACTAAAACTCAACTTTGTTTACATGTTTGAATATTTATTTGTTTCTTTGTTTGCCTGATCGAGTATTGTGATATGTTCGACTCTATCTGGAAAGCTGTAAAATAGTATGTAGGTAGAGAATATTTTTTTAATGCAGACAGACTGTTAATCACAAATTTATTTAAAGACGTTAATTAATTTATTGATTTATTCATACGCAGAATAACCCATTTTTTTTTAAAATGTTAAAACCTTGACTAAACTTTGTGGGAATAGTGACGTCACAGGTTTTTGTTTACTCTTTAGTACAATAAAATGGCGGCGTCTATTGAAGAAAATTGTGTTCCCATTCAAAAGTTTAACGCGTTCTAAATCTAATTTTCTGTCGGTCATAACTTTAACAATACGTCCGTTTGCTGTATTTATTACGTCCCAACACTTATATCAATTTTAAACTGTCTTTTTTCATTTAGTTTTTCAATAAATTTCTCTAGATCTAAAGATCAGCTGTCGAAGGAAAGTTATTTATAGATCTAGATCTAGAATCTAGGTCAAATCAAATCTAATTTTCTGTCGGTCATAACTTTAACAATACGTCCGTTTGCTGTATTTATTACGTTCCAACACTTATATCAATTTTCAACTGTCTTTTTCATTTAGTTTTACGATAAATTTCTCTAGATCTACAATCTGTCCAAGAAAGTTATTTATTTATTTATAGATCTAGATCTAGAATCTAGGTCAAATCAAATATTTATTGATTATAGGCCTAAATACAATCCAAAAAAAAAGAGACTTAAGCAAACCAGTCGTAGATCTAGAATATAGATAATTCTATTCTATCTAGATTTAGATAATAGTGATTTTCTATATACTAAACTATTTTAGACCTTTATTATTTTATATAAATCTTTGTTTGGAATATGGTAATTTTGAAATGCTCGCTCCGGGCCCATCAGCGTAGCTAATGATTAGATCTAGATCTAGATTCTAGATCTAGCAAGAAAAACTAAACTTAAGACTTAAGCAAACGAGTCGTAGAATCTAGATCTAGATCTAGATAATTCTATCTAGATCTAGATAATTTCAGACCTTCTTTATTTTATATAAATCTTTGTTTGTATAGCTATGAAATATGCTAATTAGGAAATGCTCGCTCCATGGCCTCTATTTGCATAATTTAAGATTTATACGCGGCTTCTATACTGCTAATTTTGCAAAATTATGAACGTAAACTCTAGATATAGCTCAGTCGTAGATCTAGAATATAGATAATTCTATCTAGATTTAGATAATAATAAGTTTCTATGGAATTGGCTAATTTAAGATAAAATTTAATTTGAAAGTTAGTACTACTAGACTTAGATCTAGATCTAGAATCTATGCGCTTAAATCAAGTTGCATAAGTATAGTATAAAAATTCACTTGTGACGTCACGTGTAAATAGCTAAGTTGGTAGCGTAGCCCGCTCTCATGTGGGTGGCACAGGTTCTAGACCAATATGTCAATGATATTTTTTTTTTTTTTTTTAGATGTGAATGATAAAGTTGCCTATCTGAACTTGGAAGGATACAAGGCAGGTGAAGTAGAGTTCATCTGTTTCTTTGTCCTAAGCATATGAAAGGATAGTGTGGTCAGAGACATGCTCGGCTGGAATCGTTTTTTAAACGATAAAAACATGTTGTCTGAGACTTGGCGGGACACTGGGCAGGTGAAGTAGAGTTGAGTAGGTCACATGTGACGTCAGTATATGAAGGGATAGTCCGAAATCGGTGTTTTCGGTGTTTTTAAAAGATAAGAAACATATTTTTGAATGTGGGATCTGTTTTTTGTGACGATAAGTGACACTGCAGTAGCGTAGCGAGGAGGGGGGGGGGGGCGGGAGGGGGAGGCGGGGGGGGGGGGGGGGGGGGGGGGGGAAGGGGGGCGCGTGGGGGGACATATGTTGGGGCGCCAAAATGGTTTGGAAAAATAAATTGAAAGGTTGAGGGGGGTGCAAATCGAAAGTTTGAATGGGGGGGGGGGGGGGGTGCACATAAAAAGTTTGAGGGGGGGGGGGGGGTGCAAATTGAAATCTTGCGGGGGGGGGGGGGGTTCAAATCGAAAAGTTTGTCCCCGGGCGCCGGGAAGGATCGCTATGCCTCTGAGTGACAGACGTGATGTTTTTTGATGGATGACCCCCGAAACCCACAGTTATCCAACGGATGACGGGTAGTCTAGTTAATTTTAAAAATCTAGCCCGCTCATGTTTATACAAACGTGAGCTGTGTCATTGTGAATTGGTTTAATCTTGTCAGCAGGAGAGATATTCTGCAACATGTATTTACCAGAGGCGTAGCGACCCTTCCCGGCGCCCGGGGACATACTTTCCATTTGGCGCCCCCTTGGGAGCAAATTTTCGATTTGCACCCCCCCTCGAACTTTCGATTTCCACCCCCCCCCCCCTCGAGCTTTTCATTTGCACCCCCCCTCAAACTTTCAATTTGGCGCCCCCCCCCTAAGGTCGGCGTCCGGGGACATATGTCGCCCCCCCCCCCCCCCCCCCCCCCTCGCTACGCTACTGGTATTTACGGATTTTTGTACTTGCAAAAAGTGTAAAAGTGTAGACAATTCTAAAAAGTGCAATTTTTTTTTTAATTAAGTAATTTTAATTACAAAAAAAATTTACAAACAAAATCTTCTGAAACAGTCCTAGCACTACTCAAACACACGTCGTCAGACCATCTTTCACACATAGTACATCCAACCCCACTCACATTTATACTGTGCTAACACAGAACACGAATATGAACAGAATGAAAAAAAAAATGTGCGTTTGTAGATAAACTGAATAAAGTCCGCTATCGACAAAACTACCATTTAATAAAAGGGGTCATCCATAAATGACGTCACGCTTTTTTGACGATTTTTACCCCCCCCCCCCCCCCCCACTAAAATAACGTCACACCTCAGCCTACAACCCCCTTCAAAATTGCAGTTGAATTTTTTTTAAAACATCGATATTTTCCCAAAATCTTGTCTTATTTCTGTCCAAATAGAGTATTTTAATCAATTCCTATTACAATTTATTAAAACAGTTTTCTAAACCGCGAAATATCGTCTAAAATTCTTTTTATAACATTGCTTTTTTATAGTGTGACGTCACAATATCTAGCCCCCCCCCCCACCCCCCACCCTCCTCATCATAACACATTTCTATGCCACAATACAAAATATGTTTGCGGCGGCAGCGGATTCGGGCTCGGTGATCTTCAAAGACGGTAAATCAGGCGGTCTCGGCGTTCCACACAAAAGACAGAAGTTCATCTATCGTCGGCGGTATTTCCGTCGGTTTCGAACAAAGTGGTATTCTAAGTCGACACAAAAGGTGGGGGGAGTTGACAAATCATCAGTATGTCTAGCGACGGAAAAAATCGGAAGTTTTAACAATGTAAACGAAACGTCTTTGAAGTCTGGACCAAATACCACTGAAAATCGGGTGCGGTAAATTTTTCGCAGAAATCTTCGCATTTCAACACCACCCAGCTTAAGTATCGGCTTATGGTAAAATGCGAGACAAAAAAGTCACGTGACCGACCGTTTTCGCGCCCTTCTCGCATTTTCCCCGCCTCGCCATTTCGCTTTTCGCGTCTCGCCATTTCGCTTTTCGCGTCTCGCAATTTCCCCACACCCCCCCCCCCCAGCGACCCCAATAATGGTTAAGGGAAAATCGATTGATATATAGAAACAAACGTCAACTGACCTTAAACTCGTGATCTTTACGCTTCATTTGTCTTCGCCGTCTAAAGGCCTGTAAGTCAGCAATACATAAAATTAATAGTGGAGTTGGAATTTCTATATGTGGCTAGATATCCGTTTATATGTGGCTAGATATGTGTTTAAATGTGGCTAGATATGTGCAGCAACACATATAATTATTAGTAGTTATATTATCTATATGTAGCAGGATATTATGTATGTGGGGATCAAAGCTCTTCTTTATAATTTTTATATTGTTACAATATTTATAGTCGTTAGCATATTTGTATGTGTAGTTACAACAATATTAGAGATATTAACATAAACTATGGATATAACAAAATGTCATATTTTGTATATTTCAATATAATGCAGATAAGCATGTTTGAATGATCATATATTAAAATTTAAATTCGTCGTTTCATCAATAGTAACGTGTAATGCCTATAAACTATCACAGCAGGAAGTGGTTGCTAAGGTGCATAGACTTCAGCATTTTTGAATGGTAGGTAATTTTCTTCCTGCTATCATTACAGCTTCTCTAATGAAATGCACATGTTTAACATCTCATCTAGTTCTAACGTCCGTTTAACATCTCATCTACTAATGTAGTCAACTAAAACTGAGCCGAAGCTATCCCCCCCCCCCCCAAACTAACCGTCAGCTGGATGTAGATGATGAAGATGGCGTGGAACAAGACGATGAGAATGACGAGGATCGTCTGAGCTATCTCGTCGTATGCCATGATCTTTGCCTTCTCTCTGAACCTGGACAGGTGGGTCATCATGGCGTTGACGAAAGCTTGGAATGCCAGGTAAATCAAGGTAAACACTACGTAGATATCCTGTAGGTAAACAAAACTATCTTACCATCTCTGATTAAGAAAAGATTATAATTTTCGCTATATAGATGATTGATTTGTTTCTTATTGAAAATGAATAAATACTACAGAACGGGGATGATTAGCGTTAGTGTAGTATACGGTATTTTATTTCAGTGATGTGTACAACGTTAACTTGTGTGATATGTTTTATTTACTAATGGAGGTCTAATTTTTAATAAAGGTTTACAACTTCAAATAGAGATTTTTAATTTTGAATGGGGATGTTTAAATTAAAAATGTGAATCTTTAATTTAAATAGGGTTGTTTGACTTTTAATGAGGAGGTTGAATTGAAATGAGGTAAACTGTAACGTGTGTGAGAGAGAGAGAGAGAGAGAATAGAGAGATACTCACCAGGTATGTCAAATAGGAAATAGTAGGCAGCGTTGCCTTGACAACCAGTTTAAACGCTACAGCCGTCAAAAACAGCATCAAGATTAGGGATAATCTATCGCTTCCGGCAGGGTCCATGGTCAGAACTGTCAGACTGAGACCTAGTATCAGGAGCTGGAGAGAAGTCAGTTATACAAAGTATGAAACATGTTTAAAACATTTACAGCGTATTTTACTAAAGATATAAGGACGATTTTTCTAGTTTGTAAAAGTATATATGCCTTAAATAAAGAAAGTGGCGCCACAAAGCGGGGTAATGGACCCCACAGGGTGACACCATCTAAGAGGTAGTCAAAGAAAGGATAGTCGTCATCCTAGGGTAGGGGAGGATGGAGGGATGTGACACCTGTTATATTTGTAATCAACGAGTTAATTTGTAATGTTGCGAAATTTAAATGAAAATGAATCACTAACGACTATGATTGCAAAATTCCAAAAGTAGAATCCTAGTCTTCTTCTGACATGCGCAGAGGCTAGTAAAACCGGATGTTTGGTGTTGTCCATGTGTTCCAGCGTCGTAAAGTCACGTGTCATCTCAACGTGGTGGTAAGCTCTCCATTCTTGGCTGTCCTGGAGGAAAGACATGTTTGTTAGAGCGAAGTTTTGATGGAACAAAAGCACAATTTTCGTTTGGAAGAAAAAGATCTTTGTAAGAACGGATTGTTGCTAGAATAAACAGATGTTTGCTGAAATAAACAGATCTCTGCTGCAATAAACAGGTATTTGATGAAGAAAACATGTCTTTTCTGGAATAAAGAAATATTTTCTGACGTAAATAGATCATTGCTAAATAAACAAATCTTGGTTGAAACAATTGGTTCATTGAACATTCAATAAGTTCGTAAAAAAAATGACATCCTAGAGAAGCTGATATGAAAGCTGATATCCAACAAGTACAAGACACTGACATCCAACAGAAGCTGATATTTAACAAGACACTGACATCCAACAGAAGCTGATATTTAACAAGACACTGACATCCAACAGAAGCTGATATTTAACAATACACTGACATCCTACAGAAGCTGATATTTAACAAGACACTGACATCATACAGAAGCTGATACTCAACAAGACACTGACATCCTACAGAAGCTGATATTCAACAAGACACTGACCTTTAAAGCTCGAACACTGACGTGGCTTGGATGAAAAAAATCTCCAACTAGTTCAATTTCATCCAAGGGGAGATCACTCGATAGTACGATGCTCAGCTCCTGCAAGATAACAATAAAAATTGAGGTTCAAACCAGCACATTTTACATTAGGAAGCACGCCTCTATCGGGAGGCACCGACTAGTGCAAGCGGAGATGCTAAAAGTAAACAGAAACATACAATAACATAATCAGCCTACATATATATGTACATTTTCATGTTGTGGTAACTACTTGGCACGTATGTCTAGATCATAGTGAGTGAGGGGAAAAAAGTAGAAATCACCGCACAGGGAGAAAGATACATAAAATGCCTGTGTAACCTTGAACACTGTGCTCACCTGGACGTCAAAAGGAAAATGCTGCAGCTCCAGATGCTCCTTGAAGAGACCAGACACGTGCCACATGTAGGTCAGCACGGGGTAGATTCGATCCTCCTCGTACTGGAGCATCATGGTCGACCTGTCGGAGTCCAGGCTTCCGATGACGTTCAGGATTTTAAGGCACGGGTCCCAGCATTGGTAGAACTCGACTTTCTGCAGTTGCTGCAGATATTAGAACTGGGTTACACAAACAGACAGACAGACACACACACACACAGACAGACAACCACACACAGACACATACAAGTAAACACAGCATCGATAGAACTCGACTTTCTGTAGTTGCTGCAGAATTACGGTTGGATTATACAAACAGACAGACAGACATACATACAGACACACACACACAGACCAGAGGCGTAATGACGGGGGGTGAGGGGTGCATATGTCCCCGGGGTGCCGATCCTAGGGGCGCCAGAATAAGCTCATTTTAGCGGCTATTTTTAATTATAAATATAAAAAAATATGTCGGGGGGAGGGGGGGGGGAAGGGGCGCCTCTGACACACACATACACGCAAACACAGCATTGGTAGAACTCGACTTTTTCCAGTTGCTGCAGTTATTACAGTTGGATTAGAGACAGACAGACAGACATACACACACACAGACACATACAAGCAAACACGGCATAGAACTCGAGATTCTCCAGTTGCTGCAGTTACTACAACTGGATTACACACACAAACACACCTACAGACACACAGACAGACACACAGACACAAACACACACACAACATTTGGTAGAACTCAACATTCTCCCGTGAGAAAGGTTTCGAACCCCTACCTCTTCAGACATGCCGGCAAACTGGCTCTCCGACCACTTGGCTTGTATGTAGACCTCGGCCTCAAACTGCTGGCTGATGGTGTCGATGTCGGAGATGCTGATAAAAATTACCTTGACCTCCACGTATTGCTGGGGTAGAGATACACAGGTATAGTGACCAGATATGTAAAGATACACAGGTATAGTGTCCAGATATGTAGAGATACACAGGTATAGTGTCCAGATATGTACAGATACACAGGTATAGTGTCCAGATATGTACAGATACACAGGTATAGTGACCAGATATGTACAGATACACAGGTATAGTGGCCAGATAAAACCCACCAATTAAGATTAAACACCACTTACCACTTCCCCATAATAGAAGCCACTAATGAAGGTTAAACACTACTTACCACATCCCCATAATAGAAGCCACTGATGAAAGTTAAACAATACTAACCACATCCATATAATAAAAGCCACTGATGAAGGTTAAACACTACTTACCACGTCCCCATAATAGAAGCCACTTATCGTACGCGGGGCGTGACTGGGCTTAGCCCCCTTCCTGACACTGGGCACGGGCTGATGCAGACTCGCCCCGCCCTCCCTGTTGACCAGAGACCTGACGCTGGCATGCAGGCCGCTGACCACCTGCGTCAACTTGTTGATGGCGTCCTTCATCTCCCTGGAGTTGCTGCTCAGATTCTTGCTGCTCTGCTGCTGGACAGCCACCATGTTCTGTAGGATGGTCTGGACAGGCAACTCCTCTTGGACTTCCGGTTTGGACCTCGACAGCTTCGCCTTTAGCGACTTCCCTGTCTCCGGCACGTCCATGGCGACGTCACTCAGCATGATGACGCCGTGGCGGTTATCGGTTGATATCCGGCGTTCATTCTGGTCGCGTATCTCAGATGACGTATCAGGCGCGAGCGGATTGTCGCTTCCTTGTTGCTCGAGCGTATCGGTTCTGAAAGAAAACATTTTAAAAACAATCAACACTGATTTAATAGGTTTGCTGATGTCAAACCAATATCTCGTGCAAACAAATAAAAATTCCAAAAAAAAAAAAAAAAAACTCACTGAATCCCCACGTGACCTTCGTCCAGCACTAACAGATCTTCATCTTCCTCAGCTGACCCACTCTGGAACCCGATGCCTGACCTGTTGGTATCCCTCCCCTTCCCAGCCACCTTGCGCACGTTGGCGCCGGTCTCCACCGTCTGGAAGGAACTGTCCGTCTTGTCGAAGCTCAACAGGTCCCTGCTGGTCTCGTGGTCAGCTGTGAAGAACGGGTTGACCTGTGAGAGAAGGTCACGTGGTAAGTGGTCGAGTGGATAGCGCAAGTACATGATTTCAGATGCGAACACAAATATATCAATGCCAGGTTCCTAGATTATTATCCAATAATCTAGGAAACAGGTGGATAAGGACTACGCTGGTGGATACTAAATACGCTGGTGGATAAGGACTACGCTGGTGGATACTAAATACGCTGGTGGATACTAACTACGCTGGTGGATAAGGACTACGCTGGTGGATACTAACTACGATGGTGGATAAGGACTACGCTGGTGGATACTAACTACGATGGTGGATAAGGACTACGCTGGTGGATAAGGACTACGCTGGTGGATACTAACTACGCTGGTGGATAAGGACTACGCTGGTGGATAAGGACTACGATGGTGGATAAGGACTAAGCTAGTGGATACTAACTACGCTGGTGGATGAGGACTACGCTGGTGGATAAGGACTACGATGGTGGATAAGGACTAAGCTAGTGGATACTAACTACGCTGGTGGATGAGGACTACGCTGGTGGATAATAACTACGCTGGTGGATAAGGACTACGATGGTGGATAAGGACTACGATGGTGGATACTAACTACGCTGGTGGATAAGGACTACGATGGTGGATAAGGACTACGATGGTGGATACTAACTACGCTGGTGGATAAGGACTACGATGGTGGATAAGGACTAAGCTAGTGGATACTAACTACGCTGGTGGATAAGGACTACGCTGGTGGATAAGGACTACGCTGGTGGATAAGGACTAAGCTAGTGGATACTAACTACGCTGGTGGATAAGGACTACGCTGGTGGATAAGGACTACGCTGGTGGATAAGGACTACGCTGGTGGATACTAACTACGCTGGTTGATAAGACCTACGACGGTACAATTTGAGGAAAAACATCGCATGAGACACTAAATCAACAGAAGGTAGATCAACTGTACTATCTCAAATTTAAATAGTAAGGGCTATTAGACTAAAAGATCTTGCTCAACAGATGCTTCAAAAAATAATAACAAAAAGATTGCTATTCTTATAACATTCGTTTTAGGAGGTAGTTTTTTAAAAATATATTAGAAAGTGTTAGATATTTGATATAGGCTACACAATGATTGTTTTTGTTATGTCGTTATCTTCAAAATTAATCAGAAACAGCCATAGAGCACAAGTTAGAATGTTAACAAATAACCACAGAGCACACTGAGAGCCTAAATGTTAACAAACAACCATGGAGCTCACTGTGTATTAGGATGTTAACAAACAACCATGGAGCACATTGAGATCCTAAATGTTAACAAACAACCATGGAGCACATTGAGAGCTAGAATGTTAACAAATAACCATGGAGCTCAATGAGAGCCTAAATGTTAACAAACAACCATGGGGCTCACCTCTTCCATGATTATTTCCTCCGACGACTCATCAGTAGAAGCTTCATCACTTTCGGACATTGAATCTTCCGTTGACGTCATTGTACAGCGCTTCTAACGGGTGGGTTATGGTAGTGATTAGCAATATAATTAACTAATATCTACGTTTGGTTTTCGTTTTCGTTGAAAGAATGGATAGGTCTACTCACATAGGCCTGTAAACAATAATTCAGTCATACCTACTTGTATGCAAAATAAACACATTCAATCATCATGTGTTGTGTATTAGAGCACCCATTAGGGTCAAATTGGTTATTGGACGATTTGCTATGTTGCAGTGGGGGGGGGGGGGAAGCTGTAGGGCCATGTGAGTATTTTAGATGTCACTACATTAATAATTTTTAATATAGATTCTAGATCTAGTCCATTTTTAGATCTAAATTTATTCAAATTTAATTCAAATTTATTCAAAATACGGTTACAATTGTTGGCACAAAGGCCTTTTTTCACATTGGCCGTTTAAACAAATAAAACAATTCAATCTAGATCTATACTAGGCCTGTTAGATCTACTTGTCTGTTTGTTCTTACCTCCGTTTTTTAACCTTCAAATCCCTGGACTACGCGGAAACTTTTATACAAATGTCGTATGATTTTTTAGGGTAAATTAAACTTAGTGGCTTATTTTTACCACTGTTCAGTAGCTGTAACATGTTCCTTTTGGTTTACTATGTGTGCTTATGGTACAGGACAAGAAATAGTCCGCACTTAGTTTGGCAGATTGTTTCAAGGTGCGCAAATCAGATTTCTAAAAATAAAAGCTTCTCTCCAGTAAATTATAATTTTTTTTTACTGGCTATTAATAAAGTTGATTCGTACTTTCGACTTCATCCGCAATGGTGTTTTGAAACGTGTGAACGAAATTTACCGACTTTTACTGGTGACAATAAAAAAAAACATGATAATTCATTAACTTTTTAAAATCACACCTTTTAAACACACTTTCCCTCACAAAACATCGAAGTAGCCTACCAGAGGTCCAAAGCAACGCCCCCCCCCCCCATAGTGTGACCACTATATATACAAATCAACAGGTCAGGTTTCGTTCATCAGATATTCACACGCCTCAGAGATTTGTTTGTGGGTGGTTTGTTTAAAAAATCTGTAACTTGCGGTGAGACTACTTTCAAATTGTCCACGCCCCTGATTACACATTGTATAATCATTCACTGCAGTGACGTAGGAAATGTTATTATTTTTCCTTATATATATATATATATATATATATATATATATATATATATATATATATATATATATAATTTATATATATATTTAATTATTTATATCCTCTATATCTATATAAAGATCGATGGGAATCGACACTTTATTCACCACAAATCACATATTTCAACTAACACATTTCACATATTTCAACTACCACATTTCACATATTTCAACTTCCACACATCACATATTTCAGATACCACACATCACATATTTCAGATACCATACATCACAGCCTCAGTCACAGAAGAACACAAGACGTTAGAGATTATCCATTATTTTAGTCATCGCATCTTACTTTAGCTCACATAGTTACACATGAAGCTGGACATTAAAAAGCTAACAGTTTGCAACACAGTACATACAGTCATAAACACCATCTAAGGAAAACACGCTGTAATCTGAGTCTCTCTAGGACCTGCGTCATCTTAAAGCATTGGTTTACCATGTATAGAAAACAATTTACACCGTCATGAAAAAATGTATAAACACATAGTAGAAAACAAAGTGAGAATTAACATTGCAACATAACAATGGGATTTGATTAAATAATATTGTTTCATAAAGCATACACAGGAAAAAATCCTAAATTTTAGATTTCTTAAAAAGAACATTATGAAAGCACTTATTACACTAATTATGAGCCATTTTTAGATGATTAGAGAACAGATAATAAAATTATTTATTACTCTAGTTATGGGTTATGGTTGGACAGTTTTTTTAGACATATTTCTCCAGGGTAGGGGGGGGGGGGGGGGTTGGAGCTCTTGAAACTTTTTGGGGTAAAGTATATTTAGTATATTATTCTTTACAAATTAGAGTAGGAGTCAGAAGCCTTCACTCAACTTCACTGCCCTTGAAGAGTCTTAAATTTTGACCTATAATCACTGCACCAAGTCCTATATTCTGAAATTTACATTGGGTAGCTTACATAAATATTTGGCTGTCCATGTAATCCAACAACACACTACTAGTTTATTTTATTCAATAGTTCAAACATTTGAGTTTCATTACCGAAATAATTATTCTGTTTTTGGTTTCAATATAGTCTACACATTGAACATTACAAAGCTCAATAAGAAATAACATATTTCAGTAGCTAATAATAGATTAGCAGAGCATATAAATATGTAACATTAACAAATAGTCCAAACATTCAATACAAATTTTCTTAATTTTCATACTTCATATTTTGTTAAATACTAAAAGCTAAGTTTAAAAAAAAATGAAAATCTCTAAATATGGCAATTCAAATATTACAATAAGTAAGTTCTATGATAATTTTAACATATTAGAAAAAAAATACAGGCTTAAGTAATAAAACAACACTTGTAGTTGTAATACCAGTACTTAGATTTTAATTTACTTTCTAGATGAGTAAGTTAAATATTTGATATATTATTATATTTATCCTGTATATATTGTACGAGCAAAACATTACCAGTTTTACATCATCCATCCTATATAATTAAGTACCAAAATTGTTACATGTCTCTTAACACCATCATCCATCCTATAAAATAAGTACCAACATTATTACACATCCCATATGAAATATAGAGCTCACAAAACCAATAATAAATATTCAGAAAATGTACCTCTCATTTAGCCTCCTCAGTCATCACATTCACGTATATCTTACACTTTTAGACTTTTGTTCAGTTATTTTCCATACCAAGCAAACAGGTGGATTTAAATATAAAGAAAACAAAACAAATTCACTCATGTTGATGTTACCATGGTTACATAAGTAATGAGATGGGTAATATCTCAAATATGAGTATTAGAAAAACTTTCAGGATACTGCACAAATATATTGATATGAATGATGAATATCAAAAATGATATTTTGATAGATGATCCTTAGTGAAAGAATCAATTTATAACTCTATGATCTAAAATATTCGGATGATCAATCCTGTCTCAGACAACAGCTGGTTTATGAAGATAACGTTGCAACACAAAACCTGCTTTCTGTGTACATGAGATCTGCTTTCTGTGTCTTCGTAATCTTTCACTGACTTCAGATAATGTCAGGTGGTTTATTTCAACCAGGAAACAGCGTCATCAAAATCTAAAGCCAGTTTGACATTCTGTTGTCAGTAAGTTTAGTCGTATTACCCAGGATAGGTTTTACCCCTGGGGAAATGTCAGGAGGGGGGGTCCTCAGTGATGATGTTACAACTGTGGCAACATTCCTTGATGAAGGCGCTGAATCTGCACAGCTTCATCATGGGGACTATGCTGCAGTAGGTAGAGTTGTCCACACATTCTGGGAGTAAACAAAAGTTAAGCTGATAAACAATTTATCAATAGTAATAAATAATGTATGCATTAAGATAAAGTTTGTGTTTATGTACATAATTTTTGTAAAGATTAATTTATATTTTAAAGTATTCGTTATCGTATTAAAAATACACCTGACAATGCTTATTTATAGAAAAAAATAGGTAGATTTTTAATTTTTAGAAGGCCTATTCATTTACTTAAAGGCCTATTCATTTACTTAAAAATTAACAGTTTTACTGAAAAACAATTAGAAATAATAAATTTCCCAGATTTATTAATTTATACTTATTATTTAAAAATAGATATTTTTTTGGGAACAGATAAATGATGCTTTCTTTACAATTCAACTGCAAGTACATTAATAATTGGACAGATAAAAAAACAACTAAAGATCCTGAAACTATGAGTCCTAAGATTTTTCTAAAAATGACTAGAGTTACGTCATGAGTTGGTGGAACTATATTGTCCATGTATCAAATTTAAAATATTGGGTAGTTCTTTATTTAAATTTAAATACATGTTTTTCATCAGCTTAACTGATCAAACTACTAATTAAATACATAATTCAGAAGACCTACTTGAATATAAAAACTAATAATTAAAACAAACTAATTTTTATCTTAATATAAAACAAGTTTTTTTTATTATTATCATTATTATTATTATTAATATTGTTGTTATGATTATTATTAAGTAATGCCTTGGACAATTACAGGTTAACTGGTTGTCAAATATAACTAGGACTACATTCTGAAAACATTTTTAAACATGCTTTATACTATAGCCAAACATTAAAAACATGCAATTTAATGTAAAAAAAAAAGGTATGAAGTAAATAATAGTTGAAATAGTTAAAAAAAAATAAGATATCAAAACAATGCATTATTAATACTAAAATGAAACTGAAAAAGTTGAACTGAAAAGATTAGAAACAAAACTGAGCAATACCCAACTGAGAAGGAAATCCATTCTACTAAAGCCACATCAAGTCAAACGGCGTGCCACATGGAAGATTAAAAAAATGTTTACCTAGACCTATCTGCTTTAAGTTTGAAGTCCACATACCATTAGTACAGTTATTAAAACATGGGCGGGTGACAACAGGGCGGACCAGGCCCTCACAGTTCCTGCCTGCTGACAACGTAGTGCCTTCCCATACACATATCAACATCCTCGTCTGAAAGCCCGTCTGTCCACACTCCGACATGCACTGTTACAATAGTTGAACAAAGATTTTTGTTATTTCAGCATGGTTTTAGTCAAGCATTGTTTATGACATTGTTTGTGTATTTGTGAGTGTGAATGTCACTGATTAATAAAGTGGCAAAACATTAAAAATTTTAAATTGTATACTGCTTAGTGTGAATAAATAAATACTGTTTTTTAGATCTTAAATTAAATACAAGGTAATTAAATAATGCAGTTTCTTACAACACGAACACATTATTTATTTTAACAGAAGCTAGAAATATTTTAATATTTTAAAAAATTGTGGCATAATTATGACTATATTGACAAAGAAATTTTATTTAAAAAATCTCATAAAATATAAAACACTTAAAACAATTTAAAAATTTGAAACATTTTTAATTAGGTTCACTTACTGATGCACTCACCTAAGACCATGATGGTATATTATTTAATGGCTACACCTTTTTAATACACTTATGTCAGATGATAAATTGGCTACACTTTTTATAGCACTTATCTAAAACAATAATGATATATTGGCTACAGTTTTTAATACACTTACCTCAGACCATGATGGTTACAGTTTTTAATACACTTACCTCAGATCATGATGAGGTATTTGCTACAGTTGTTAATACACTTACCTCAGACCATGATGAGGTATTCCAGGCTGGGTGACAAGATGGTTTCCTACACTCTTTCTCTAGCACAGGTCTAGTAGAGTTATCACAAAACTTTTCATGGACAGGAATTGTGTTTTTCTCTTTTGTACACAAAACTGTCCTCACTTTTTTAGAGTAACCTTCCTTGAAACATCCATTCTCCAAACACTGAAAGTAGGTTTAGTTCATAAAAGTTAATGTTTCAAACAAGAAGTTAATACATGTTTAACATTCTAAAACAAGAAGGTTAAATTAATGTACTTTTAACATTGTAAACAAGAAGGATTATTTTATGTTTATGTTTCAAACGAGAAGTTAATATATGCTTAACATTCTAAACAAGAGGGATTAGATCATAAGCTTTAGGTTTTACAATATGCCTGCCAATAGTTCTTGTATTTACACATCATCACAAAATTATGTAAAATGTTCATAGCTTTTAAAAATTTACTATTTATGTGTCCTGATGGATAGGGTGGTGGGACGTTAGAGCACATCCAAGTCTTGTGTCCAAAGATTCATGACCTAGGTTAGGAAAAGTAATGGCACCTGGGCATAGTGCTGACCACAATATCTCTGCATATGCTGAAGTCACAGACACAGGTAAACTCTACTTCATCAGCCCCCATTGACCATAAGGTTCTAATGGGTAACTTTTTTTATTTTGTTTTGTTTATTAAAAGAAAAGTAGTTTAGTTATTTGTCAAAAAATAATCTAAATATTGTTTAAACAAATGCATGATACAAACATCTTTAAAAGTATTAATAGATTTTGCTCAACGGAAAACAATTAAAAACCAGCTTACAGGAGACCAGTCTTTGGCAATCCACTTAGTGCAAGGTTTTAAGTTGCATTTCTCTGTCGTGTCTGGCACCTCCAGGCCGGCATTTTGACAAACTTTTAACGAGAAAATCTCAAAGTAATTGTCAGTAATTATTTCACAAGTCACATTTCTTTGTCGAACTCCCCGCCCACAAGTAGCTGAACAGGCTGTCCAGTTGCTGACCACTAGTTGAAGGGGCCGCAGTTTTCTATCAAATGGATCTAAATATTTTGTCGACGTGTTCATTTTTGATGCATTGGACATAAATTCCAACAAATGTTTTTCTCTCTCCATTGATTCCTGTTAAAAAAAAAATGATGAAAATTAACTTGTGTGCTTAAATATAAGGCAGCTATGAACTTTGAATTAGGATGGATTGTGAGATATTTCTTAATGTAGACATGTTAAGTAGCAGGAAATTGACATTCTTCATTCTTCTAGAACTAGCGTGATAGCATTCAGCTGATAAACAGACACTAAAGCCAACAGTATACCAACACAAGCTCGAGGCTCTATACTTCTATGTTTGATATTCATACAAAATTTTATTCATTAGCAAGGGCATATGTAAGTGTAATAAAATTTTATTTTAGTCTAAAAAGAATTACCTGTAGTATGTCATATATATTGGAAAAGACAATTTGAACAGAAGCTCTTTTATTCTCCACTAAGCAGGTATATTTTCCTGTATCTTTATCAGGACGACTTTTTATGATTTTCAGATTTCCTCTGTACAGATGGTTAAGGTAAGAAACAAATTGAAAAAATAATTACAAGGTCAATTTGTGATAACAGGTAGATTTTAAAATATTTTTTGTGTAAAAATAAAAAATTGGACTTGCTTATTAGAGAAATGAAGCCTTGGTCCATTTTTGATGTGTCGGTCATTTTTGAGCCACTCAACTCTGTGTTTGCTGGCTCCTTTTACTGGACACATGATAACAATGGTTGTACTGGGCAGGACGGCAGCCTCTCCACCCACATACACACGGATCTTCATGGAAAAAACAAATTTCATACATTCTTTTTTAACATTACATTAAAATTATATTAAATTTAACAAGATTTTAGTTCATTACAATTACTAATTAGGTAACTATAAGAATACTGAATAACTAGCTTAATATAATTTATCAACTGGGTTAATCTTATCAGAGTGTGACAAAGGACTAGAAAAAGAGTACTGTAGGAGGTTGAAAGGGTAGGAAGGAATTGGGAACAGCTGAAAAATAGTGGCAGGATACAATGGGGGAGTGGAAAGCTTTGACAGAGGACATATGATCTGCGAGGAATTAAACAAAGATGATGAACAAGCCTATTGTGTAAAAAATGCATTAATAATATATATATTTTTTTATTATTTTGTTTATTACTGTTGTATATTATTAGTATTTTAAATATATCAACACAATTCTATCTTTAATAACATAACAATTCTCTTCAAAATTAGTAAATAAAAAATTCTGCCTACCTTGTCTATTTTATTGATTTGAAAAAATTTGATGTGTTTTTCTTTTATTTTTATTTCAGGACATGCAGAGGCGTTGCATACAGTTTCGGATTCTGGTTTTTCTGTGGGTGGACAGTGGTACTCGTCCACATCTACTGGACCTCCATCTTGGCTCACTCGTTGGCAGACCACGGGACGAAGCTGGACACCTGACCCACAGGTGACTGAACACTGAGTTAACAACAGCTCATAGTTAAAAATAGGTCATAGTTAACAACAGGTCATAGTTAACAATAGGTCACAGTTAACATTACCTCATAGTTAACATTAGATCATAGTTAACATTAGATTATTGTAAACTTTAGGTTATTTTCAACAACAGGTCATAGTTAACAATAGGTCATAATTAACAGTTAGATCACAGTAAACATAATTAACATTAGATCATGATTAGTAAAACAATTAGATCACAGTTAACATTCCATCATAGTTAACATTAGGTCATAGCTAACATTAGGTTATAGTTAACATTAGGTCAAAGTTAACAGTTTGGTCATATTTAAACAGGTCATAATTAACAATTATAATTAAAATAGTTAACATTACGCCACAATTCTTTATGTCAGGTCATCAGGTCATAATTAACAGTTAGGTCATAGTTCACAGGTCAATGGATACTAGAGTAAAGGATGAGTCATTGAATAGCCTACAGGAATTAACAAAAGGGTCACAGCCATGCTGGAATAATGAAACTTCTAATTAATAGATTAAATCATCTAAAATCTAGGTCTATTTGAAGCTGACTTCTGAAACCTCTAATTAATACATTAAATCATCTAAAATCTAGGTCTATTTGAAGCTGACTTCTGAAACTTCTAATTAATACATTAAATCATCTAAAATCTAGGTCTATTTGAAGCTGACTTCTGAAACCTCTAATTAATACATTAAATCATCTAAAATCTAGGTCTATTTGAAGCTGACTTCTGATACCTCTAATTAATACATTAAATCATCTAAAATCTAGGTCTATTTGAAGCTGACTTCTGAAACCTCTAATTAATACATTAAATCATCTAAAATCTATTTGAAGTAGATTCCTGATACCTCTGACCAGTATCCTGTGGCCCAGTTAGCTGGACACAGCTGAGTGTTGCACTCCCTGACCCTGGGGGGTATGGGCTGGCTGCACATGTTGTCTCGCAGGGTTAAAATCTGATTCATGTCAACGTTTACTTCCTGGATGCAGGTCACGTTCCTGATCATAGTCCCCCCTCCACAGGTGCTGGAACACTCACTGAAGTCACCTATTTTCCACCTGTACACACCATTTAAAAACAAATTAATTGATTCATTATAATTATGTTTATAGGCCTGTACATTTTTAACATGATATTATTCATTTTCTAACCTTAAACACGATTCAAGAAACATTTTAATTAAGACTTAATTAAAATTAAGTTAGATTCATTTTTCATAATACAATATTTTTTTTCTACCAGACGCCATTTAAAAAGCAATTAAAAATTAATTAGTATCAAGTAGGTATTGATCAATGCATCATTATATTAAAAATGTATGTGGTCTTAGTAAGCAATAAATATAGAGTAAAACTATACCTTTGTGGACAGGCTACATCATTGCAAAAGTGCCTCTCTGTTCTCAGTTTTTCTGCGTAAGCACAAAAATGATCTGGCACGACCGAGTTATTTATTTTGTAAACACAATCCAGCTGTGACTCCTAATCATTAGAAATAACACAACACAATTAATTAATAATAGCTTATGTATAATGAATATCAGAGTATTCTAGATATGCATTTATATGAAAAATGTAAATGGTTTCATTTGCATAGTAGACAGCAATAGATCTAATTATTGATTCCGATGTGTAGGCCTAAGTAATAAGTAGTAAGTTTTTTAGTTCCATGGGAAGCAACTCATAATTCCGATTTTTATAATGCTTTACTAGCGTTATTTCCCTTTGTTGGTACCTGTATTCCACGAGAGCAAGTTTTACTACAAGGCCCTAAACCTCTGGACACCCATTTGTAATCCTTGTAGCACGGTTTCAGGTCACAAGCCTCAGTAACTGCCGGCTTCTCACCTGTTAAAAAACACACAAGTTTAGCATACTCTACCATGTTTTACCGTAAATATAAATCTTATTGCGTCTATATCACGAAAAATTTTTACCGCCCCCCCCCCCCCCCCGAACGAAATGAAATTTATATAATTTATATAGAAAGTATATACTTTTAACAGTGTCCGCCCCCCCCCCCCCGAAGAAAGTCTACCGCCCCCCCCCGAAAATTTCAAGTGCCCCCCCCCCCCCCCCCGGAGAAAAAAGTCTGGAAGTAACACTGATCACGTATGTAGCCTAGGACCTTTGTTCCTAGGCTGTGTAGTATGTAGGCCTCTATATTACCGTCCTGTCTAGCAGTAATTATAAATGTTTTTGTGTCTCTGTATGTAGTCTATGTAGGTCTATATCTTGGCTACAACGCTGTTTAGCGAGTGTTATGGGCTAAGTGTCTACGTGTCTCTATATGCTGTCTAAAATAAACCACAGATATGACTTAAATATGAAAGGTTAAGGATATTATCATTATTATGGGCTTTGTGGTTTTAACCATCTTCAAGGCTAGTTAACCTTAAATACGAAATGTCATATTTTTTATTTATAACTATGTAATGGATCGCTAATATTTCTATTTTGTTTGTTGTGAATAGCCAGTCAGTCATTTAGCCATGTGTACATTAGCAGATATCTTTGTCAGTGTTTCTTCCAGACTTGAAATTTTCGGAGGGGGTGGGGTGTGGCGAACACTATTAAAAGTATATATTTTCTATATACATTCCAATTCGTTCGGGGGGGGGGGGGATGCCTGGAGAAAACACTGATATTTGTACAATGTGTAGGCTTATGTCTAAACTACATGTAGGTGAAACTTAGAACACACCTGTGCATTCAGTGTCAGGTAGATCCTCCACTGCCTTTATGTACTGCAGCTGCACCTGACAGCGCACATACCTGCTGCGATAGGTCGTGCCACAGGTCGCACTGCAGGGGCTCCACTCGGTGACGACATACCTGGGTCAAATTAGATAATTAGGTGTCTTCATTAGAGGGGGGGGGGGGGGAGACAGACCTGGGTCAAATTAGATAATTAGTTGTCTTCATTAGAGGGAGACATACCTGGGTCAAATTAGATAATTAGTTGTCTTCATTAGAGGGGGGGGGGGGGCATACCTGGGTCAAATTAGATAATTAGATGTCTTCATTGGGGGGGGGGGGGGCTGGGGGGGAGACATACCTGGGTCAAATTAGATAATTAGATGTCTTCATTAGAGGGGGGCATACCTGGGTCAAATTAGATAATTAGATGTCTTCATTAGAGGGGGACATAACTGGGTCAAATTAGATAATTAGATGTCTTCATTAGAGAGTGGGGGGCATACCTGGGTCAAATTAGATAATTAGATGTCTTCATTAGAGGGGGGCATAACTGGGTCAAATTAGATAATTAGTTGTCTTCATTAGAGGGGTGGGGGGAAGACATACCTGGGCTAATTTAGATAATTAGATGTCTTCATTAAAGGGGGGACATACCTGGGCCAAATTAGATAACTAGATGTCTTCATTAGAGGGGTGGGGGGGAGAATACCTTGACCAAATTAGATAATTAGATGTCTTCATTAGAGAGGGGGGAGTCATACCTGGGCAAAATTAGATAATTAGATGTCTTCATTAGAGGGGGGGACCTACCTTGGTCAAATTAGATAATTAGATGTCTTCATTAGAGAGAAGGGGGGGGGGGTGGACATACATGCCTAGGCCAAATTATAGGCGGAGGGAGAGACATACCTGGGCTAATTTAGATAATTAGATGTCTTCATTAGGGAAAGGGTGGTGGAGACATACCAAGGCCAAATTAGATAATTAGCTGTCTTCGTTTAGAGAGGGGTGGGCAGAGACTACATGGGCAATTTAGATAATTAGATGTCTTTATTAGAGTCGACTTACCTGGGCTAAATTAGATAGTTAGCTTTCTTTATTAAGGGAGAGAGGGGACACATATAACTAGTCTAAAGTAGACAATTAACTGTTATCATTAATGAGAGGGGTAGATATACCCCGTCCAAATAAAATAATCGACATTCATATCTCGGAGAAGGGGAGACAACAAACTTTGTCAAAATGGGTCGCTGTCTTTCTGGTATGAATGCAATGGGCAGGGGAGAGGGGAGATAAACGTGAAGACGTTTTACTGTTGCAGCTTCACTGTACGTCACGTCATCGTTAAACACGTCATCGTTACCGAGTACACACGTCACAGTTTACGTCATCACTCATTGCTTCACACCTCACCTCAATTATATTATACATGCTACTGTTCATGCTTACCCCGTCTCAAAGTTTTTTTTTCTTTCATTAATCGAATTATTAAATAATAACAGATTTTATTTTAAAACTAAAATTGTCATCAAGTAATAGCTACATACGGACAGTTACAAATTCTGATTAATTAAAATTTTGTGAGAAATTTTGATAAAAAATCGTTCCTGTAGTTAATTACCAGCCGAAGGGTATTCAATAGCAAAATTATTTCGCCTGCTCCGGTGACAGTTTTTAAATCTCCTATAGCTTGATTTCATTGGCGACAACAATGGCGGACTAACCATGAATGAAATAACCCTCTACCCTCCATTATTCCCAGAAGCTGATTAAATAAAAATCTGTTTCTCAGTAATTACCAGGGCAAAGGTCGATGTGCCCTACATTTTTCGATTGATTATTCTTTTCATGTAATCAGAAATTGAGTGCTCAGCTAAAAGGACAATGACAATTATTTAGATAAGAGAATCTGGGGACGTTTGGGGAAATAAAGTGTTTTTAAAGAATGTAGTAGATATAGTAGTGTGAGATGTGGTGGTTTTTTCATTTTAGTATATTCTGTTCTTTAGTTCTGTGGTCTATCATGTTGATATATTGTATTATATGGGGTTTTGGTCGTCAATCGCTTTGATATTTTGTGTTATATTGCGTTGGGTGATCGTTTACGGCCATTTTATAATAGGCTATATTTTTTTTTCTTGTTTCATGAAAAGACCTCCAAAGAACCGCATGTATAATTATCAACAAAATATTATCGCGAGCAGCAGCAGTGATGTTATTTAACATCAATGTTCCAAACAAACTTTTTGTAGTTCGTTTTTCAACGAGGTTGTGGTAGGGTGGGACAAAAGAGATGCAGTCAAACATTTTATGGAATAATTGTCAAGTGGTCATCCGTAAATGAGGTCACGCTTTTTGGACAATTTTTAACTCCCCCCTAACCATCCGCCACGCATCGTCCCCAAAAGCTAGACTCTCCCCCCCCCCCCCAAATATGACATCACACCTCAGCCAACAACACCCCCCCCCCCACCCTTCAAAATTTGATTTGATTTTTTTTTAAAGCACCGATTGTTTTTTCTAAAATATTGACTAAGCTTGTTCAACATGGAGTATTTCAATCATTTTCTTTTGCAATTTGTTAAAACAGTTTTCTAAAACACGAAATAACGGTTAAAATTCCGTTGTTAACATTACTTTTTTTTTAAATGCTAAAGTGTGACGCCACATCTCTGAACAACCCCCCCCCCCTTCTCACACATCGTCACAAAGTAACGGACCCCTATCCGCCCTACGAGTGTGGCGTCTTCTATGGACGATCCCCAATATCGCTAATCAGTAATTAACATTTTAAAAACATTTTTAAAAATGTGACCCAAAAAAAATAGCACTAAGTTTAGAAATTATTTTTCGAGATTATTAATTTTAACCCCCCATCAATCTAAATAACAAAAAAAAAATATCGGCCAACAGGTTTTATAAGCCGGGAGACATTGATGAAATGTTTGTTCACACATTTTTTTTTACATACGTGAACCAATTCCCGCAACTCCGTTCAGTACTTTAGGGGGAATAATAAAGCTACCTTTACTCCAAAAAAAAACAACTTTTTTAAAAAACCAAATTCATTTATAATTTCCTTTCCTATTCAAAATGCCTCACGATTGACCTTGGAAAAAACCAGATCCCCAACGTAACATTAAAGTCAGAGGTAGTTCAGCAGAAAATAAATAATAAATGATAAATGGCGATAGCGAACGCCGGAAGAAGGTGACGCACATGTTATAAAAAATGAGTTGCGTTAGAGGAGATGATAAGGGGGAGGGGAGTAGAGGGGCGTAATTGTTTAATATCAGCTTTGACGTAAGGTGATAACCATATTTCTGGGATTGGGAATTTAAAAAAATCATTTCCCGTTAACTGACCGTGCGGTAAAAAGGTGTAATTTTTTTTTCTGCCGTGAAGTGATTGACGTTATATTTATCTGCTGGTGAGCGACGATGGCATGTATTATTACAGGTATCTTTGAAGTGGTTTTTTTTCTGGCTTTGTCCTGTACAAGCCAGCTGTTTTTTGTCATGAGACTATCAACTATCAGCTATTTATTGTCATGTTCAGGTGAACTATTGTGTTGTTTGTTCAACTTTTGTTGTCCTGTATAAGTCGATTGCTTGTTGTCTTGTATTCGCTATACATTGTCCTACTAAAGTCAGCTATAGTAGTCTAGTCGTTTGTTATCTCAATACAAGTTGACTGTTTATTAAACTGTCCTAGTTGACTGTTGTTTTTTTAATCTTGTTCAAGTCAGCTGTTGGTTATTCTGTCCAAGTCATCTGTTTGTTAACAGCTGCTTAAAAACATTTTTAAATAAAAAATCGTAAAACATAAATATTTAAACAATGTATCTTTTGCCCTAATATTTTTGCGGGGTAGTGGGTAATAATTGTGCTAAGCTTATCATATTAGAGACTCACTTGGGCGACTGGAGGTCCTGTAGTTTTGTCTCGTCGTCTTTGATAATGATCTCGTTTTTAAATGGGCTGTTGTATACCAGCTCTTGACGACCTGTGGGGGTACAGAGATGTGGTCATGGTGTCTGGGGTGGTACATGTGGTCATGGTGTCTGGGGTGGTACATGTGGTCATTGTGTCTGGGGTGGTACATACATGTGGGGATGTCTGGGGTGGTACATATGGTCATGGTGTCTGGGTGATACACAAATGTGGCCATGTTTTGTGGAGGTGATACACACATAAGGTCATGGCAAAGTTTTCTGGATGGTATTTCAGAAGCATTGACAATGCCCTTTTGTATGGGAGTTATATAAGTGGCGAAATGTGCCGAAGTTATCTCATATAATTTGACACCATACACCACTCTAATGGCCGAGTCGCTGTTTGATGTGATAGTTGTAGCCCGTTCACAAACATTTATCCTGATGGAAAGCTTTACTTTACTCACCATTGTAGTCATGTTCTGCTATGTGTCGTGGGTCTGAAAAACAGGAAAAAGGTAACAGCTTAGTGAAGTTTAATTGAGTTTTTTTTTTTACATCATTCTTACTTAAGAGTTATCGAACATGAAGGAAAGTTCGTCTAAATTTAGTATCATTGGTACTTAAGAGTTATCGTCCATGAAATAAAGTTATCTTTCTTTAGGAGTGGAGATTACAATAAAATAGTGGAACAAAATAAAACAAAAAGAAACAGATGTTCTGTCATACCGTCAGGGTCGTTGCAGGGAAAGATGGTGGTACAGTTCCTGCGGGTGACAGGCTGTGTGGTGATGTCACAGAACATCTCACCCTCGTGACGGCAGACGACCTCCCTCACCTGCTCACCCCAGCCACATGTCGCGCTACACTGTAGGGAAAAACACGAGGGGGGGGGTAGAGGTTGTTAGGTTAGATGATGTAGGCAAACTGTTGATGTGAGGTTTCTAAGATGGTCTTGGATGTAGCGATGCCGTTACAATGATGTTGTTTTAATGCCGCTGTGATGTCGCGATGTAGCGGTGATGTTAACACGATGTTGTAGTGATGTTACTGTGATGTTGCCACGATGTTGTAGTGATGTTACTGTGATGTTGCCACGATGTTGTAGTGATGTTACTGTGATGTTGCCACGATGTTGTAATGATGTTACTGTGATGTTGCCACGATGTTGTAATGATGTTACTGTGATGTTGCCACGATGTTGTGGTGTTACCGTGATGTTGCCACGATGTTCAAATGATGTTACTGTGATGTTGCCATGATGTTGTAGTGTTACCGTGATGTTTCCACGATGTTGTAGTGATGTTGCCACGATGTTGTAGTGATGTTACTGTGGTGTTGCCACGATGTTGTAGTGATGTTGCCACGATGTTGTAGTGATGTTAATGTGATGTTGCCACGATGTTGTAGTGATGTTAATATGATGTTGCCATGATGTTGTAGTGATGTTGCCACGATGTTGTAGTGATGTTACTTTGATGTTGTCACGATGTTGTATTGATGTTGCCACGATGTTGTAGTGATGTTGCCACGATGTTGTAGTGATGTTACTGTGATGTTGCCACGATTTTGTAGTGATGTTGCCACGATGGTGTAGTGATGTTGCCACGATTTTGTAGTGATGTTACCACGATGTTGTAGTGATGTTACTGTGATGTTGCCACGATGTTGTAGTGATGTTGCCACGATGTTGTAGTGATGTTAATGTGATGTTGCCACGATGTTGTAGTGATGTTAATATGATGTTGCCATGATGTTGTAGTGATGTTGCCACGATGTTGTAGTGATGTTACTTTGATGTTGTCACGATGTTGTATTGATGTTGCCACGATGTTGTAGTGATGTTGCCAGGATGTTGTAGTGATGTTACTGTGATGTTGCCACGATTTTGTAGTGATGTTGCCACGATGGTGTAGTGATGTTGCCACGATTTTGTAGTGATGTTACCACGATGTTGTAGTGATGTTACTGTGATGTTGCCACGATGTTGTGGTGATGTTGCCACGATGTTGTAGTGATGTTACTGTGGTGTTGCCACGATGTTGTAGTGATGTTGCCACGATGTTGTAGTGATGTTAATGTGATGTTGCCACGATGTTGTAGTGATGTTACTGTGATGTTGCCACGATGTTGTAGTGATGTTGCCACGATGTTGTAGTGATGTTGCCACGATGTTATTGTGATGTTACTGTGATGTATCGCGATATGTTGCTCCTGACATGAACCTTGGGTCTCAAAGGTCACGTGTCAGACACCCAGCTCACACGGTACGACCCTTGGCGCAGGCTGCAAGTGCCAGGCGCCGTTGTCTGTCAGATGTCTTTAACGCCAGGTTACGGTCTACTGGTTCTGTGCTGGTGCTGACCCAGAAACAGCCTCTGATGTCTGAATGAGTGGTTCTCAAACTGTCAACACGGCTAACATCGGTGACTGAGTAGTTCTCAAACTGTCAACACGGCTAACATCGGGGTGTCTGAGTAAACATTACATAGCTACTGTGTCCTATTACAGCGTTGTAGCGACACTCTAAGCTTGTAATTTCCACCCAGCACATACGGCTGGCTCAAATTCCTCGTTACTTCATTTAAATAATAAATATTGGCTTACGCATGCTTTGAGAAAAAAACTTTAACACTACGTTTGATGGTTGAGTAAGAATACAACGCTGCTGGCATGAACGGATCTAGATTTTCATGCAGTTGGAGGGGGGAGGCATATATTTAAATATAAATGTATTTATTGGGACAAGGGAAGAATGCAGCTACGCCTTAATGACCCCCCCTCCCAAGATCCGCCTATACACATTCTACAAAGATTCGTTAAGAATAAAACATTTTTTTAAAAACTTCGTAAAAATAAATATGCAAACTATTTATTTTGTTGCTAATATGCTTTGCAGGGTGGGTGAGCTTGGTAATTGTTCTAAGCCTATCATGTAAGCTACTGGTCAAGCTAAAACTACACTGTCGTTAAAGTTACTCACCGGAGACCACTCCCCCGCGTACCACTTGGGGCAGATGTGCGTGTTACACGGCCGTGAGGTGGACGGCTTGGGGAAGGGACAGAAGCTGTCGTGTAGCCACTGTTGACGGCCGTCCTTCAGGGTGTCCATACAGCGTACCGCACGGGTAGCCAGCCCGCCCCCACAGCTGACCGAGCACGGTTGCCAGAGAAATATCTTCCATCTGGGGATTATCACGTGATAGATGTAGGAGTCACGTGGTGGAGATGGGAGTCAGGTGATCATCGTTCACCATACGTGAAGAAAGAACAAAGACAAACTTTTTTTTGATAATTAGCATATTCTCTAATGGGTTTTAATGCAGCTTTAAATACTACTTATGCAATAAGATAAATTTAGTTTCAAAGCAAATAGAACAACTTAGATTTAACCAATCAGAAAGCGTTTAAAGATTGGGCACACCAATCAGATAACTAAACCTTGACTTAGCACTTAGACTTCGGAGTGAAACATGCCTTATGACTTACACTATAGTGTGAAACATGACTTAGCACTTAGGCTTTGAAGTGAAACATGACTTAGGACTTACACTATAGTGTGAAACAAGACTTAACACTTACACTGGGTCGTGATACATGACTTAGCACTTACTCTAAAGTGTCAACATGACTTAGAACTTACACCAAAGTGTGAAGCATGACTTAGGACTTACACTATAGTGTGAAACAAGACTTAACACTTACACTGGGTCGTGATACATGACTTAGCACTTACTCTAAAGTGTCAACATGACTTAGAACTTACACCAAAGTGTGAAGCATGACTTAGGACTTACACTATAGTGTGAAACAAGACTTAACACTTACACTGGGTCGTGATACATGACTTAGCACTTACTCTAAAGTGTCAACATGACTTAGAACTTACACCAAAGTGTGAAGCATGACTTAGGACTTACACTATAGTGTGAAACATGACATAGGACTTACACTTAAGTGTCAACATGACTTAACACTTACACTGGAGGACACTGGCGTCTGTAACATGACTTCTCCCGTTCGTTGGGTCGGGGTGACTTAGCACATCGTGCCTCGGGCACCTGGTTGCCCGTGGGTCGATCCTTGCAGCGGTACTGGTACACCTGGGTCCCTGGCACGGAGAAAAGTAAAGAATTGTTCAACAGTTGTACTAGGTATTGCTCTACAGCTGTTCTGGGTATTGTTCTACAGCGGTTGTAGGAATTGTTCTACAGCCGTTCTAGGTATTGTTCTATCACTGCTGTAGTTTTTTGCATGGTGTAACCGTTGGTATGCCGCTGTTCTAGAACTGTTCTGTGTTTGTTTTATAACTGTTCTATTTTATAAAAATTTGTTCTATCGCTATTCTGGGATTATTGTTGTGTTCCTGTCTTAGAGTTATTATAGCATTGATATACATTTGTTTTAGTACTGTTCTGTTATTGTTGTTTTAGTTCTATCATATTTTAGCCCTTTCTCGGAATTATTGCATGATTTAAACATTGTGGGAAATCAAAGCTTGGATTTGCAATGCGCAATCATCCAGTGGTCTATTTGACTCTGAAGTTATATTACTATTATTATTGGTATTTTTCTATGACTGTTCTATAATGTTTCTAGTTCTTGTATTGTTGTAATGGGGCTGTAATTCCGTTCTAACATGCTACGATAGCGGTGCTAGTATTCTTCCACAACTAAATCATTGTTCCATCCTTGTTTAAAAATGTAGTTCTCTCGTACGCCGTGTGAAACTAAAATGAAAAACCTGTTTTTCAAAGCGTCTGCACCTGTCATTACCAAAGTGAACGTTGGCATCAATAGATTATCTTGTGATGCGGAATATCTACAAAACAATGGCTGTTATCTATAGAACAATGGCTGTTATCTATAGAACAATGGCTGTTATTTATAGAACAATGGCTGTTATCTATAGAACAATGGCTGTTATCTATAGAACAATGGCTGTTATCTATAGAACAATGGCTGTTATCTATAGAACAATGGCTGTTATCTACAGAACAATGGCTGTTATCTATAGAACAATGGCTGTTATCTATAGAACAATGGCTGTTATCTATAGAACAATGGCTGTTATCTATAGAACAATGGCTGTTATCTATAGAACAATGACTGTTATCTATAGAACAATGGCTGTTATCTATAGAACAATGGCTGTTATCTATAGAACAATGGATGTTATCTATAGAACAATGGATGCAGGAGATGTAGAGATGAACGGTAATAATTCTCAGACCAGGTCGGGTTGACGGGTACAGCGGGTACAGCGGGTACAGCGGGTACAGCGGGGTGTAGAGGGAAGCAGCGGGGTGTAGAGGGAAGCAACTCGATAAATTGTGTTTGAGTGCAATGTTTGTTTGAGGCATGATGGGCATAACACGTCAACAATCACGGTGCACGCGCTAGGGTTGTCTGTGATGAGTAGGACTAGGTGACCTAGGCGGTCCAGGTGCTGGTAGACTCAGACTTTACACGGAGCAGTGGTCTTGATTTTTAAAATAAACGATCATGTACTTCTTCTTCTTTCTTCTTAATTAATAGTGTTGGAAGGTATATCCTCCAACACAATTAAGTATACGTGTCAACTGGTTATGCGCCATTGAGGCAATTAACTCCGATTTCAGCCTGCTTTTCTTTTTGGATTTGCTTCCATAGCCTTTGTCCAACCAAGAACACAGCAGTTGTTTAATTTTGGAGTTGTCTCTCCTAGAAGAGTGGCTGTGCCCAGCAAACGAGTCTCATCTGCCCGAGGGTTCGAACTCAAGACTTGGGTTTAGCAACCATGAGCTTTTACCGACTCAACCACGCCGACCCCTATGAACTGATGTGTGCCACGTGAAAAATGTTCTGATGATTCTACCGTATACATGAAAGATATGTGTACGTTAAGTAAAGAATCCTCTTTAGCCATAGCGGTCCGTTGTGACAATGAAGTAGAGTTCATATGTTTCTTGACCTCGGCATATTAAGGGAAGATGTGGTCAGCACTTTGCCCTGTTGCCCTACTTTCCCTAACATGAGTTAGGTTCAACGGACTTGAACCCGGATTCGAACTCAAGACTTTCGGGTTAGATGTATTGATTAGTCTATCAAGTATTACATGGAAAATATTAGGTGTAAACTGAGTTTGAATGTTCACATTTCTGCTCCATCATCAACTCCTATGTCCAATTTATTACATTTAGATCTACTCAGTTTAACGGGTGCCTTTTATTATAGTAAGTTCCTGTGTTGTACGACATGGGATTTATTTATTGTATCAGATATTTAATTCTCTGTATTTCATACGCCGTGTTTTGTACAGCAGGACAAGATACCATATCCTGTTATCACTCAGAAAAATTATATATATGTATTTCCAGTTGTATCTGTAAGCAGTTTATTCTAGTTTACGATGTTTTTATTTCGTGTAACGATGGAATAAATTTTCTTTCAAACTTTTTAACAGTGCACATTATCTTTTCTTGCTCTAAAGTTATGTTTTATTGGTTATTCGTAACATTTATTTAATTGAAATATTGCTTAAAAATGATGAATTTTTGAATTATGTGTGTGGGTATCAGATCCAAAAGTGATTGTTGGCAAAAATGAGACACTTGAATTATACATCAGACAGACACAATGTGAGTGTTTATGAAGCAGAATGAAGAATGATGTGAGCAGATGTAGACGTGAATGATGTGAGCAGATGTACACGTGAATGATGTGAACAGATGTAGACGTGAATGATGTGATGTACACGTGAATGATGTGATGTACACATGAATGATGTGAGCAGATGTACACATGAATGATGTGATGTACACGTGAATGATGTGATGTACACATGAATGATGTGAGCAGATGTACACATGAATGATGTGATGTACACATGAATGATGTGATGTACACATGAATGATGTGAGCTGATGTACACATGAATGATGTGAGCAGATGTACACATGAATGATGTGATGTACACATGAATGATGTGATGTACACATGAATGATGTGATGTACACATGAATGATGTGATGTACACATGAATGATGTGATGTACACATGAATGATGTGATGTACACATGAATGATGTGATGTACACATGAATGATGTGAGCAGATGTACACATGAATGATGTGAACAGATGTACACGTGAATGATGTGATGTACACATGAATGATGTGAGCAGATGTACACATGAATGATGTGATGTACACATGAATGATGTGATGTACACATGAATGATGTGATGTACACATGAATGATGTGATGTACACATGAATGATGTGAGTAGATGTACACGTGAATGATGTGAGAAGATGTACACATGAATGATGTGAGCAGATGTACACGTGAATGATGTGAGCAGATGTACACATGAATGATGTGAGCAGATGTACACGTGAATGATGTGAGCAGATGTACACGTGAATGATGTGAACAGATGTACACGTGAATGATGTGATGTACACGTGAATGATGTGAACAGATGTACACGTGAATGATGTGAACAGATGTACACATGAATGATGTGAACAGATGTACACGTGAATGATGTGAACAGATGTACACATGAATGATGTGAACAGATGTACACGTGAATGATGTTTTACCTACACCGCAGGATGCGGAACATGGGGTCAGGCCAATCTCCACCCACTGGTAGCGTCCCTTGGTGCCATTGTTTAAACACGAGTTGTTGCCCCCACACACCCCACACATGTCCTGGGTCAGTGGGGAGTCCAGCTGGTGGTCACAACCTACTGTCTGGAGGGGAGAAGAAGAAATGGTCACAGGGAAGAAATGGTCACAGGGAAGAAATGGTCATAGGGAAGAAATGGTCATAGGGAAGAAACGGTTATAGGGAAGAAACGGTTATAGGGAATAAATGGAGTTATCATTAGGAGGAAATGGAGTTATCATTAGAAAGAAATGGAGTTATCATTAGGAAGACATGGAACTATCGCTAAGACGAAATTGAACAATCTTAAGGAAGAAATGGAATTAGGCGCATAACAAATTGACACGTAATACTTATTTGTGTTGGAGGTAATTCTTTCCAGCATTAAAAATTAAGAACGAAGAAGAAAATGTAATTATCTTAAAGGAAAATTAGAATTCTCATTAGAAAAACATTGATTATCTTATAGAAGAAACGAAATGATCCTCAGATAGAAATGGAATTTTTTAACGGAGAAAAAGAAGTATCATTAAAAAAAAAGATATATCACAAGGAAAAAATGGAATATCTTATAGACAAAAAATATTGTTTTGAGGAAGAAAAAGATTTAAGGAAAAACTAGATTAGTCATAAGGAAGAAATAAGATTATCATACAGAATGAATGTAAGAAATGATATAATAATGTTAGCCACAATGGAACGATCAAAACGGAGAGAGGAATAAATAAAAATATCCTACACGAAGAAAGAAAAAGCCAAGATTTGTCTTACAGAATGAAACCAACATTACTCAAAAGCTTCAATTCTGTTTTATTTCGTCGTCTGCGCACTGGTTAACCTCTTAAGTGAGATTGATGGGACGACGAAATGACCAGAGATTTCTCGTGTTGGGAGACGAAACGACCGTGTAAACGACTTGTTTTGACTTAGTCCCCCTCGCGTATTCGCTGGTTTCACTAATTAACTACAGAACGTTCGGGTCAAATGTTTGCTAAATATAACTTTGGGAAAACCCGGTGCAATAAATCTGCAACATCAGATCAAGTCTGTGTTGTTTAGTGGGGGGGGGGGGCACGGGGTGAGAAGGGGTGTATGCCAGACATATGGATATACGTTGTATCAGTGGCAAACGGACGTTTTCCAGAAATCACTTTACCGAATGCCGTTTTCACGAATGGATACATATTGCCCGTATGCGACAAGTATCCGAATCGACACACCCGTATGCGACAACTTTCGGAATGGAAATTTGCTCGAATGCGACAAATGCCGGATTGAACAATTCCCCAAATGGACATTTGCACGAATTTGAAAAATGCCCGAATGGACACTTATCCGATTTCGACAAATGTAAGAACGGACAATTGCCCAAATGCGAAAAATGCTCGCAAGCCACTTGTCCGAAGCCTTTTCACCCAAAAATGTTAATATATTTTACTAAATAGACATTCTTAACACATTTTAATTAAGCGACTGATTCGACCTTTATATGTCCCAGCTGTAAAACCACAGCTACCATCACCAGCTGTAAGAACACAGCTACCATCACTAGCTGTAAAAACACAGCTACCATCACCAGCTGTAAAAACACAGCTACCATCACCAGCTGTAAAAACACAGCGACCATCACCACCTGTAAAAACACAGCTACCATCACCAGCTGTAAAACACAGCTACCATCACCATCTGTAAAAACACCAGCTGTAAAAACACAGCTACCATCACCAGCTGTAAAACCACAGCTGCAACCACCAGCTGTAAGAACACAGCTACCATCACCAGCTGTAAGAACACAGCTACCATCACCAGCTGTAAGAACACAGCTACCATCACCAGCTGTAAGAACACAGCTACCATCACCAGCTGTAAGAACACAGCTACCATCACCAGCTGTAAGAACACAGCTACCATCACCAGCTGTAAAAACACAGCTACCATCACCAGCTGTAAAACACAGCTACCATCACCATCTGTAAAAACACCAGCTGTAAGAACACAGCTACCATCACCAGCTGTAAGAACACAGCTACCATCACCAGCTGTAAGAACACAGCTACCATCACCAGCTGTAAAAACACAGCTACCATCACCAGCTGTAAAACACAGCTACCATCACCATCTGTAAAAACACCAGCTGTAAAAACACAGCTACCATCACCAGCTGTAAAACCACAGCTACCGTCACCAGCTGTAAGAACACAGCTACCATCATCGTCAAGACTTCCCATATTTATTTAACCACAGGTTAACCCTGAACTCTGGTCTACTTCACCTACCCACATTTTTTTACACATCTTACACCGACATCTCGGTACATAGTAACAAGTCACGTGATTATCCCAGCCCACAGTTGATGACAGGATTAACACAGTTTCACAGGTATAACCTGTCGCAGGGTAAAGTGTATACAGTACGCAGGGTGACCTATGGTCATTACGGTAAAACAAAGTTAATCTGATTTTTCTGGTATTAAAATCTTAAAATGTTCATATTCTATCACCAGCTTCCTTTGTAAAACATACTTAGTTTAGGCCATGGGTTAAAATGGGCTGCTTAGTAACCCCCCCCCCCCCCCCCTCCAATTTTTTAGTAACTTGGAAAAAGTGTGCAAACTCTCATGCATTTTTGTCTCTCTTTAGTAATAGCTTTTAGCAATAATAATTTAATTTTTTTTTTGTTTTACTATAAAACAAACTAATTATAATACTATATATATATATATATATATATATATATATATATATATATATATATATATATATATATATATATGTGTGTGTGTGTGTGTGTGTGTGTGTGTATATAGTATTACAATTAGTTTCTTTTATAGTAAATAAATAATAATAATTAATTTTTAAACTTAATTGTAAGGCTTTGAAAGATTTTTAAAAGTCCGCTGAAAAATTGATGGCTTTCGTCATTTTTTTTCCGTTCGCGTTGGATAGATGAAGTAGTGTTCATCTGTTTCAATGACCTCGGCATACAGTGGGGACAGTCTGGTCAGCTCTATGTTCAGCTGCCTTTGTTTTTTTTTTATTAACGTGAGTCGGGTGCACATAAGGGCTGGGTGGACTCAGATATCCTACAGAAATGAGTCCGAGATCTCAACTCGAGACTTCCGGGTTAGCAGTCGCTAGCTCCACCATCTGACCACGCCATCGCCCAAATCGATGACGTTAGCGAGTTGTTAAAAATAAGTTTGATTCAAAACCCATAACCACAACACAATTAAAATATTTCTGTTTGTGAAGAACGTCAAATCTAATTATAGAATATTTACGAGCCGTTTTTAAAAATAACTTGACACGGCTTTCAATCAGACAAAAATAAACACCGTTTGATTGGCGGTTAAATTTAGCTCGACTCCTGCTATGTAAAACATGAGTACAAGGTGGTTAACTGTTGTACAAATTGTGTAATTAGCCGCGTGAGTAATTATCAAAATTTTAACAAGTGTTTCCAATCTTTGCGCTATTTTTGTGAGCGCTATTTTCTATTTGTGGATGTTACGACGTAAGGAGTTTCTTTGTGTAGTGTTTTCTGTTTTTTTTACTTCTACATACGAATAATTCTTGTGCGCAATTTCTAGGCATTTTTTTGGTACGTGCCCACTGTCGTCTATTTATACAAGTCTAGGTATGTGACCCCTTCAACACAATTAAATATACGTGTTAACTAGTTATGGGCCATTGAAGCCGTTGACTCCATTTCAGCCTGCTTTTCTTTTTGGATTTGCTTCCATAGCCTTTGTCCAACCAAGAACAAACTACAAGGCAGCAGTTGATTCATTTTTCGAGTTGTCACTCCTAGAAGAGTAGCTATCCCAGCTAATTTTTTCGGTTTAGCAACCATGAGCTTTAGCGACTCGACCACGCCGACCCCTATGTGACCAGTGATTCTGATAATTTTGATGGGCCAGTAAAAAAAATGTTAAACTTTTTGCAGCTAATTAACAAGTGGAACTAAGAGGAAGATGGTCTAAATTAGCAATCAAGACTATGAAAAAGCTGGTTTAAATTAACAAACAAGACAATGGAAACGATGGTTTAAGTAAATAAACAACATTATGGAAAAGATGGTTTAAATAAATAAACAACATTATGGAAAAGATGGTGAAAAGGTCTAAATTAGCCAACATGACGATGTAAAAGATGATGTAAATTGGCCAACAGGCCGATGTAAAAGATGATGTAAATTAGCCAACATGCCGATGTAAAAGATGGTCTAAATTAGCCAACATGCCAATGTAAAAGATGATGTAAATTAGCCAACATGCCGATGTAAAAGATGGTGTAAATTGGCCAACATGCCGATGTAAAAGATGGTCTAAATTAGCCAACATGCCGATGTAAAAAATGGTTTAAATTAGCCAGCATGCCGATGTAAAAGTGGTCTAAATTAGCCAGCATGCCGATGTAAAAGTGGTCTAAATTAGCCAGCATGCCGATGTAAAAGATGGTCTAATATAGCCAACATGACGATGTAAAAGATGGTCTAATATAGCCAACATGCCGATGTAAAAGATGATATAAATTAGCCAACATGCCGATGTAAAAGATGGTCTAAATTAGCCAACATGCCGATGTAAAAGATGATATAAATTAGCCAACATGCCGATGTAAAAGATGGTCTAAATTAGCCAACATGCCGATGTAAAAGATGGTCTAAATTAGCCTACATGACGATGTAAAAGATGGTCTAAATTAGCCAACATGACGATGTAAAAGATGGTCTAAATTAGCCAACATGCCGATGTAAAAGATGATGTAAATTAGCCAACATGACGATGTAAAAGATGGTCTAAATTAGCCAACATGACGATGTAAAAGATGGTCTAAATTAGCCAACATGACGACGTAAAAGAGAATCGCGTGTACAAGCTCACCCAGCATTTCCCAGTGATGCACATGTCGTAGGCGTTCTGTTTGCACCGGGTACCATCCAGTACTTTAGGGGCCTGCCGCACCACGGTTCGAGTCCCCTTTGGGATACAGTAGAGGGCGCATGGGTTCTTCCTGTCCGTGTAGGGGAGCCAGGTGTAGAGCTTCCCCCCGTAGGTCGCGTTGTTGAAGGCTGCACATTGCTGGGCACGGAAATCAACTGAGTCGGACGGGCAAGGCTGAAACAGAAAATTGACTTGAAAAAAATTGAAAGAAACGACGACGTATAAATAGGAAAAATATCACCTTAGCACTTTATTTATAAAGTGCAATCTGATAGCTGTGGGGTTGGGTGGGAAGAATTGTTGAATATGTTATTTAGTGTGTGTTGTTAAGTGTATAATGTTAAGTGTATGTTGTTAAGTGTATGTTGTTAAGTGTATGTTGTTGTGTATGTTGTTAAATGTATATTGTTAAGTGCAAGTTGTTAAGTGTATGTTGTTAAGTGTATGTTGTTAAGTGTATATTGTTAAGTGTATATTGTTAAGTGTATGTTGTTAAGTGTATGTTGTTAAGTGTATGTTGTTAAATGTATGTTGTTAAATGTATGTTGTTAAATGTATGTTGTTAAGTGTATGTTGTTAAGTGTATGTTGTTAAGTGTATGTTGTTAAATGTTTGTTTTTAAGTGTATGTTGTTAAGTGTATGTTGTTAAATGTGTGTTGTTAAGTGTATATTGTTAAGTGTATGTTGTTAAGTGTATGTTGTTAAATGTATGTTTTTAAGTGTATGTTGTTAAGTGTATGTTGTTAAGTGTATGTTGTTAAATGTATGTTGTTAAGTGCATGTTGTTAATTGTATGTTGTTAAATGTATGTTAAGTTTATGTTGTTAAGTGTATGTTGTTTTGTGTATGTTAAGTGTATGTTGTTAAGTGTATGTTGTTTTGTGCATGTTGTTTTGTGTATGTTAAATGTATGTTGTTAAGTGTATGTTGTTTTGTGTATGTTAAGTGTATGTTGTTAAGTGTATGTTGTTTTGTGCATGTTGTTTTGTGTATGTTAAATGTATGTTGTTAAGTGTATGTTGTTTTGTGTATGTTAAGTGTATATTGTTAAGTGTATGTTGTTTTGTGCATGTTGTTTTGTGTATGTTAAATGTATGTTGTTAAGTGTATGTTGTTTTGTGTATGTTAAGTGTATGTTGTTAAGTGTATGTTGTTAAATGTATGTTGTTAAGTGTATGTTGTTTTGTATGTTGTTTTGACAAGCCACATCACAGACGATGCAGATTGAGGCAGACGTTTTCACATGTAATCCGTGAATCCTAATCTTCAAACAGATCTGTCGGTATGCAGGGTGTGCTAGCTGGGGGGAGGGGAGGGGGGGGGTTGAAACTTGGGTCAACATCCCGGAGTGCCGGATGAAAACCGGCAAATGTGAACAGCGTAGCGCGACAGCCGGCTGACAGCATGCGGACAGCACAAAACGACAGCCCGCTGACAGAGGTCTTAACACGGCTCAGAGAGTTATCGGATTATTTTTTTATGGCTAAATATAGCCACAGGGGGAAAATGGGTTGAATTCAATGAATGAAACGAAACTGTCGAGTCAGCACATTCCGTGTTGATAAATAAACAGCTTACGGTAAAACTCGGAAAATTTGGCACGTTTAAAAAGTGTCACAAAAAGTAGATTTTCGCGAATTCTAGGACACGATTTTTTTTAACGTCAAACAACGATGTAGTTAGCAAACAGTTCACTGATGTAAACAAAACACCAGCTGTTACACACAAAACGAAGGGTTTACTCTAATGACCGAAAACTGCAGGTTCTAAACCCATGCACACCGTACACGCTGTCGATCAGATAAACTTTTGCCATGTGCTACATCCCCATTCGCTTTTACATTCTCTACCAACATATACACGTTTAACCTTCGAAGTATATGTAAAAAAAAACGTGGATCTAAATTTAGAAATGCATAGATAATCCAGATAACTTCTCTTGCGGGTCTTCTATTGTTTGGGAGATCTATTTCTAGAGTAAATTGCAGCAGTTGTTGATGCGAATGGGGGAGTAGGCGGGTTTGTTGTTTCTGTTCGATAAAGCTGAACCAGGCACTAGAAGACAGGTGTGTTGGGCCCAGGTATGTGACCAGGACTGCCAACATGGCGGGGTTGTTAGTTTAGAAATACACAGGTAAAGCTAACGAGTCATGGGCTGTGATCCTGGTTAGCGAGGGCCAGGTAATAAGCACAAAGAGATATGGGTTTGTAGTGCAGTTTTTACGGCCAGATGCAAGATTTCTGGCGCGTTCAAGGGGGATAATGCTGGATAAGAAGCTCTAAGGGAATTCACTCTGTTTGACACTTCACGATTGAATAAAAGCAATTAATTTTTTTTTTAAATTTGATGATATACAAATTACATTTCCAGATGGCCTCTTCGAGCAAATATTTAATCAGTTTTCGTTTATTTTAATTAATTTAAAAAAATAATTCTTGCCTGGGTTTATTTTAATTCGTAGAGAAGGCAAACTAAACCGGAACTTACGTCATTATTGCACGTGTTGTATCGAAACCTCTCCCCCTCACAGGTCGAGTTGGACTCGTCTTCCTTAATGCACGTGCGCTCCTGGTAGGTGGCGCCGCCATCGCATGTCCTCGAGCACTCACTCCAGGGGGACCACTCGCTCCAGCGCTCACCGACTGTCGACGTCACCATCTAAAAATAGACCAAAATAAAAAGTTATCACACACGATGAAATTAATAAAAAAATATTTTCTAGAAAAAAATATACTTTAATTGTTATTTTTTTGCAGGGAGAACACAGGCCTACATTTGGGGAGACACAAATCGATAACTAATATTTGCTGTAACATTCCAGTTGATTTGGAAGAAATAAGTTTTTGGGGGCTTAGCGTTTGCGGGAGAGCAATATCCGAATGGAATGATGGGTCGATTACGGAAAGTTTTTCTCCTCGTAGATATGTTCCAACTATCGAACGTCTCAGCAATCGAACGACCCACTTTATGTACGTCTCGTTTCTCGCACGTTCCACCAGTCGTACGTCCCACTATCAGTACGACAAGTTAATCAACGATTTTTGTTGTTATTAATTACTCTAAACCAGGGATCTCCAAACTACGGCCCGCGGGTCGGATGCGGCCCGCGAGGTCCTCTCATCCGGCCCGCGGAGATCTTTCTGTCCACGGAAAAAAATGTTTGTAGGAGGTGACTGAGTAACTTTGCCCAGAAAATTTAAAGTAGCTTGAAAAAGTAGCTTTGGGTGCAAATACCAGAGAGGATATATTTATTGAGTTAAAAAAAACCCATTAATTTGCTGATTATAACTTTGACTGGACTAACTTCAGTTACCTAACTTTTGATGGTCGAAAGTACATGAGTGGCATAAAGAAAGGCTATGTTGGACAAGTGAATGAGAAAAACATTCTACAACCAATGTTCCTGTACTTTATTACTCCCCAGCAAGCTTTGTGTGCTAAGTATGTGGACATTAGCAGTGTACTGAATCCTGTGGTGAAGATGGTGAATTTGATAAGATCACATGGGCTAAACCATAGATAGTTCAGAGACTTGTTGAAAAATACAAACACAGAATAGAGAAAGGAAATAGGTTATTTTCTGGAAAGTAAATTCAAGCTACAGCCAATAATGTCTGGGTATAGAAATTGGCCTCTGCTGAAGACATAACCAGTAATTTTAATTTTCGGAACCTAATTCTACAAGAGAAGGAAATCTAGTTTTTGATCTATACACCCACCTAAAGGCCTTCACATATAAACTTGTCATGTTTTTGGAACAAGTACAGGCCAACAACTTGACGCACTTTCAGCAGTGCAAGGTCTTCATGGCTAGACAACAGCTGAATTCCTCACGTCTTTTGCATGCGAGATCATCAAAGATCTCCAGCTGCAGTTTCAGTAGCAGTTTTCTAACTTGGATCTAAAGGCAGAAGAAGTGAGATGGTTTCAAAGCCCATTTGAAACAAATGTGGCCAGTTGCCCAGATGAACTGAAGCTGGAGGTAAGTGAATTGCAAGCAAATGACCTTCTTAGAGACAAGTTCAAAGAAGGGCGGGTGGGTTTTTATAAGTTTTTGCCCAAGGAAGACTTTCCTAATATTAAAACTTTTGCATCAAAGTACCTTTCAAATTTTGGAACAACATACCTGTGTGAATACAAATTTTCAAGAATGAAATACGTGAAGAACAATTGAGAGCAAACTTGGACCTCGAGTGTGTTGGCGGCCCTCGACAGTGTTTCTTTCAGACTTTTTTCTCGATTGGGGGGGGGGGCTTGAAAGTTGTTGAAAGTTGTATATATTTCTATACTAATTGTATTACGTTGGGGGGGGGGGGAAGCTTCTGCAGGGGGGGGGGGGCTCAGAAACCCAGAAGAGATGCCTGAAAGAAACTCTGGTTCCCGAACTGATATTTGATAGTTAATGCGGCCCTCGGGCTGAAAAGTTTGGAGACCCCTGCTCTAAACTGTCACATTTTTGTACTGTTACAATCAGAATTTTAATAAAACTAGAAGTCGCTGTTGCTGTGGTCCAACATTCTGATGCTGTGGTCCAACATTCTGATGCTGTGGTCTAACATTCTGATGCTGTGATCCAACATTCTGACGCCGTGGTCCAACATTCTGATGTTGTGGTCCAACATTCTGATGCCGTGGTCCAACATTCTGTGGTCCAACATTCTGTGGTCCAACATTATCTTGCTGTGGTCCAACATTCTGTGGTCCAACATTCTGATGCCGTGGTCCAACATTCTGATGTTGTGGTCCAACATTCTGATGCTGTGGTCCAACATTCTGATGCTGTGGTCCAACATTCTGATGCCGTGGTCCAACATTCTGTGGTCCAACATTCTGATGCTGTGGTCCAACATTCTGATGCTGTGGTCCAATATTTTTCTTGCTGTGGTCCAACATCCTGATGCTGTGGTCCAACATTCTGATGCTGTGGTCCAACATTCTGATGCTGTGGTCCAACATTAAGATGCTGTGGTCCAACATTCTGGTGCAGTGGTCCAACATTCTGATGCTGTGGTCCAACATTCTGATGCTGTGGTCCAACATTCTGATGTTGTGGTCCAACATTCTGATGCTGTGGTCCAACATCCTGATGCTGTGGTCAAACATTCTGATGCTGTGGTCCAACATTCTGATGCTGTGGTCCAACATTCTGATGTCGTGGTCCAACATTCTGATGTCGTGGTCCAACATTCTGATGCTCTGGTCCAACATTCTGATGTTGTGGTCCAACATTCTGATGCTGTGGTCCAACATCCTGATGCTGTGATCAAACATTCTGATGCTGTGGTCCAACATTCTGATGCTGTGGTCCAACATTCTGATGCCGTGGTCCAACATTCTGATGCTGTGGTCCAACATTCTGATGCCGTGGTCCAACATTCTGATGCTATGGTTCTACATCTTGATGCACTAGTGACAATTTGCCACACTCTGTATTCAAACATTCAGGCAAAACACGTTGCACTAATAAATATTTAAATTGGGATTAGCTGAAGTGAAATGTGTTTGATTAAACTTTGCTTTAATGTCTGGGAATGTTGCTCTCCTGTTTGATCACTCAATGCACAATGTTGGTGTTGGTCTACGTCAGTTTGGTAGTGTTTCTTTCAAACATTTTTTTTATCCGGGGGTGGGGGAGGGGCTGGGAGGAACTCACTCAATGTACCTTGTTGGTGTTTGTCTATGTCTGTTTAGTAGTGTTACGTTCAGACTTTTTTATCCGGGTGTTAGGGGCCCTTGAATTATATTTTTTTGTGTGGGGAAGGTGGGGGTGGTGTTACTACATTTTCCGCGGGGGGGGGGGGGTGGGTACAGATACTGGTAACAATATATAATTTCCATATTAATTATTTTTCACATGCGGGGGGGGGGGGGGGGGGGGATAGGTGTGCTTCGGCCGTGTATGTGTATTGGTCTCTAGGTATTGCTGATGAGTTGGTAGGGTTTTTTATGTGTAGTGTATTTGTTAATTTGTTTTAAGAGTGTGTTTGTCTGTTTGCTGGTGTGTTGCTCTCTGAAATTTTGTGTGTTGATCGGTGTCTGGCCTATAACCAACATGCAAGTGTGCTAGCTATTCTAAACATGCCCTGAATTGTTGTTCAATTTGTTTCCCCTTAATTAAAGCAGTTACGTAACTAATTACATCTTAACATAACAACATTAAAAACACACTCGACTGAATCGTGACAATGTTTATTATTTATATTTCTACCACAAGATTTGGAATCACTATGATGATCATTACTGGTAAGCGACAAGATTAGAGCCATAGAATATGTTATGATATATGATACAAGTTATGGGCCATTATACAAGTTATGGGGCATTATACAAGTTATGGGCTATGAACCAAGTTATGGGCCATAAAACAATTTATGAGCCACAATATGAGCCATAAAACAACTTATGTGTCATGAACCAAGTTATGAGCCATGAAACAATTTATGAGCTACAATATGAGCCATCAAACAAGTTTGGGTCATGAAACAAATTATGAGCCACAATATGAGCCATGAAACACGTTATGAGCCACAATATGAGCCACAATATGAGCCATCAAACAAGTTATGGGTCATGAAACAAAATATGAGCCACAATATGAGCCATTAAACAAATTATGAGCCACAATATGAGCCATGAAACACGTTATGAGCCACAATATGAGCCACAATATGAGCCATGCTAGTTCTATCCCCACTTTGCGTGATGCTCTGCTGTTTGACAGGGACGTGAGAGGGTAAATTATAAACAACATTAGCTTGACGCAGCCCCTGGCCAATGTTCAACAAACCTGCAGTGCAAACAGGCACACTCTCTGTGACGTCATGGCTGGGAGGATGAACGTGCAATGAGCGTGAGTACTAGCCGTTTGCCGTTATGCGACGAGACAAAGACTGATCACATTCTAATTAAGTAAACTTTAATTATGTTCATTGGTGACCTCGTGTTTTTATAGATATTTTCTTTGCGGTAAAAAAAAAATGAGATACAGCTAGAGAGGGGGTGGGAGGGGATGACTGCAGACACGTAGTTTTAACGATATAATAGAGGATGTAATAGGTTTTAGTTTCTACTGGTCGTTAGTCACAAAACACAGCACAAAACATAACATAAAACACCTCACAAAGCATTAAACAAAACGCCATATGAAACACAACAGAAAAGACCAAACACACAGAGGACGACATTATGGCACACCCAGCCTCATAAAATAACACTAATTATAATTTTTATATTTGTATTTTTATAAACTACAGACTATTATTACATTTCTTAACCCTGGGCACTTGCTTCCACATTGTACACCAGCAAGGTTCTTAAGTTTAGTGTTGGAAGGAATTCCCTTCAACACAATCAAGTATTGCTTGTCAACTCATTATGCTCCATTCAGGCCATTGTCTCCGATTTCAGCCTGCTTTTCATTTTGGATTTGGTTCCATAGCCTTTGTCCAACCAAGAACAAAATACAAAGCAGCAGCAGTTTGATTTTGAAGTTGTCTCTCCTGAAGAGTTGCTGTCCCCAGAGCCTCAGGATTCGAACTCGAGACTTATCGGTTTAGCAACTATGAGCTTTGACAACTCGACCACGCCGACCCCAGGTCAGGTTCAAATACCAGCGTTTAAAGTCATAGTTACCCTTATCCCACTTATAATTTCAAATT